AATGAAAATTGAAGCTTTCTGTCGAGAGCAATAGTCATCACAATAGTATAGCGTTTTTTCTTTTACATGTTACTTTTTGTACATCATTGATTGATCCGCTCTAATCTGCCCTCGGCCGATAATTTATAAATTATTTATGTTGAACATTAGCAAAACAAGATTCCAGATTTTATTGTGTTTCAAACCAGACACTTGGTTTCCTCACAAAATCAAATACAGGACAATTACATATAATTAAAGGTAAAAAGCAACATCTTCACAAACATTTAAATTATCAATTTCATGCAATCAGTTATAGTTATACTCCGTATGTATGCTAAACTTAAGACTGGTGTTAAGAATCGACCAAGGCAAACCTATGTAAAATTACACAACGATGAACAAAATGTTTTAGAATACAACTCCACGTTTGTAGTCATAGACTCGGCGGGGCGTAGTGGAAGGTGACGGGACGTATTAGTCAAATTTTAAGAGATGTGTGGATGATTAAGAAACTGCTGCGTTTGATGCCCAAAAATCAAAACGTAGCGATGGAAGGTTGTAATGGGAGTCCATTCTGAAATTATGAGCGAGAATGGGTAAAAGACTGGCGAGATAACTTGACTTACAGTTGAAAGTTATGAAAATTTGCTTTATCTCGCAGCTGGGGACCAAAACGCCGCTAAAACGAGGTACTTTGTACACGAAAACAATGTATCGACTGAAAGGTATTTCTGTGAAGCTTTGTTCGGAACAAGTTTGAAGAAAAACGGTGAAGTGTGAGACTCACAATCCTTGATTTTCAAACACTGGGGTAGGTTTTAAATTCAAATTAACGGTTTTTCGGGACGGAGTGGTTTCGATACGTCCCAAAGAGATACTACCGCGTGATATGGTACAGATCGATCAAATCAAAAAATGTACAAAAATGGTACATAATATGAGGAATATGATATAAGTTAATCCAATTAGATTATGTACAAAAATGGTACAGATCTAAAATATGAAGAACATAGCACATAACGGGCAAATTAAACACTATGAAAACGGTACCGAATATGTTAAAGATTGATTTATCTAAATATAAGACGAGGGAAACCCCAGAGCTTAGGAAATGGCAGACATCATTTCGAAGTTAGCATTTGTTTGTTCCAATTTTTACCGCCTTGCTTCCGAATACAACACAACTCTGTAAAGTTTTAATTGATGTCAGCAAATTCTTTACATATTTCTTTATCTTGATGTAAAATAACGAGCTATGATGTTTGTTAAGACCAAGACACCAGCTATATATTAAAGGGACAAAGTGCGTAAATGTAGTCTCATTTTTGATCTTCATAGTATTTCCAATGGATTAATAAACACCTGATCTTTCATATGACACCAAAAAAAGCTCAAACAGACCTCATCAGAGTTGACACTAGCTCATGAAAAAATATTTTTGATCTATCAATTTATATATGTCAAGTTTTTTAGCAATGCCATAGAAAGATGGCATTGTTGTTTGCATTAATTCTCCATTCAGTTTTGACAGGATTTTCAAGCATACGCCATCTTTTAATCCCAAAGTTCTTCAAAACATACACTTTGTGAAAAGTGGTAATTCACTTTTTTCAATCTCTGAACTTCAAATGCTGTTTTCTATGCGAGTAATTTTTTTTTCACTTCAGTATTATCCCAAATTAAAGTTTTTATCATATTTGATTGACTGTGTGAGTGACATGTCTCAAATGATATTTTGTTCCTTTTCCTTCAAAAATAGGCGTATTGCCTGTTTAACTTAACATTGTAAAAAATGGTTCGAAGAGAAGGTTCAGCATGTAAAACAAATCGAAACAGAGGTATGACATATAGTGCGACTTTCAATTGTTCTATGTTACGTCTATTACCTTACCCTATAGTCTTTTCGTATTTCTCAGTGTAACATTAGAAAAAGCCAAGACAAAATATATGAATTCGATAATGTTAATTGTGTAAAGAATAGGAAATAAATCTGCACGACTTCAATCTATTTATAGTTGGAATTTTAAACATGTCTATGGAAAACAATATTGTTATAAAAAGCTCTGAAATAACATCCTTGCATACAGAAAGAAGTCTATTCTTTCAACGTATATGAATTCCAATATTATAATTAGGGAATACAATGATGAAGGTTAAAAAGGGGCTCGGCGTGTTAATATCATCTAATATCTTTAAAATGACTGCTGCATAAAAAACAACGATTCTATAAGATTCGAAGAGGGAATGACGAAACTCCTTCAGTTTTCAGTCGGGGGGGGGGGGGGGGGTGCGACTGTGGCATAAACAAACCAAAAAATAACTAGATATATTTAATTTTACAAAAATTGATGCAACTTGGAGCTAGAAGCTTCACATAAAAAGTATTTTAAAGCTCTGCAAAAACAAAAACGATGTCAGGTTCAAAATCTAGATATATTCAAATGTTGTATGATTACTGAACTTTACTTTTAACTTTATTATTCACTTTGTGTTAACCTTTTACAATATGTCTATGGATATTTTTTGTCTGTCACCTAAAATCTTAAATAAAAAGTATGTTTCAGTTCTTATGTCTTTCAGTGAGTTGTCTGTCCAATGGGATAATTGGACATCTTGGAATGAAGTTCCATGCGCATTTGAAAAACTCCCTAGTTTCATTTTTACATGATCATCATCCCATGTTAAAAATCGTTATTTCTCAGTCCATGTACAAATTGATAGTAGAAGCAAAATAGTAGCTAGTGCCAAAAGTCCAGAATGTATGATGAAGCCTAGCCTCAGATATGTGAAACTTAAAATGTAACCAGTAGCTCCTGTTATACAAGGGATACAAACTCCTACCAATGTAAAGCAAACCGACAATCCCGAAATAACGTTCCTTGATTTTGAGTGCGCCAAGATTCCAATATGGCCATGTTTGATTATTGCACTGAGAAAGCCGAATAAAAGCATGAAGCTGAGTAAGTCCTCTATGTACGTCCACGCAAGTGTCAATAGAGAGCTGAGAAACGTGCCGATGAATTGGGAAATTGCTTTGTGGTGACTCTTGAGTTTGCTACACGAACCAATCATTGCTCTGCCAAGTATTTCGCCCGAACCTAGCAACAAGAGGCCATGTGCAACGTGGAGTGGGTCCGTCATTCCATCTGTGACGAGATTTGGGTAAAGAAGGACGATAGTGACGTAGCTGCTAAAGTAAAGAGTCGTGGACATAATGTAGAGAACAAATGAACAAGTTTTAAAACAGGATGATGCTGATCGCTCTATGCTACCATCTATCTCCGAACCATCTCCCTCATCAACTTCAATGTCATATAAAACACTACCTCTGTTGATGCACTTAAATTTTTCATCAAGAATCACCGGTTCTTGTTTTTTGCAATGATGTTCTGTATCATCGCTACTGTTAAGGTCGATGTTACACCATCTCTCGATCAATTCCTGTGATGGGATAATTCCAATATTGCCATTGTCATCCGGTTTGCCATCAACATCATCATATTCTTCTTTATCATGTTGTTGAAGGTCATTGATTTCATCACTATTGGACATGTTGCAAATAACCTCATTGTAGTTTCTCAAGGGACATTTTGATAAGGTTTGAACAGGAGATTGCACCGATGGTTTTTCTTGTAGCCATGCGTTTTTCCTTATACTCCAAGGAGGGGAACAGTCATCGTTTGTGCACTCGACTTTGCAATTTCTGAGACCATGACATAAGCTATTCGATATAGAGCCATTCGTAAATGTATTGTTCACTTCATCGGTCGATTCCTTCTGAATTACATCATTTGAAGTAGTAGTCCCTGTCGTTGAAGAAACAATTTCATTTGATTGTAAATCTGAACCATTGGGTAGGTAGACATCATTGTCAGAATGAAATTTCTCTAACGATCCTAATTTCAATCCGTTGTGAATCCCAATGTTCTCCTTTTGATTATCAGTTTTCTGTTTTTCTCTTAATCTGAACACATGATTGATCCCCCTGACGATTTGCACGATGTTATACCCGGGTACTTCAAACCTAAAGGGTACCCTAATGGTTTTCTGTTCAGCACCAAATGACTCTTCCTCGTCGTGTTTTTCTGTTAATCCTATATCATTAAGATTAGCAAAATATGATGAACATTGGGGGGACATGACAGTCACATCAACTGATTCACAAAATGTCACAGTTCTCTTTGGTGCAGTCACGTGTCCTGGCAACGGGGTGTTTGTTGGGGCCTGTCGACGCATGCGCAGAGAAGATGACAACGACTTTGAGGGAGCATATTCCTCAATGTTGGAATCGGTAGATGATGAAGACGGGTAGAGACTGACGGATGACGTTGAACATGTCGATGTTGTATCTATAGCAACATCACTTTCTGCAACTGTAATTATTCTATGAGTACACTGATCAGCTGTGCCTCGTAGACTCGCATTCACTCTTTCATTGTTATTAACATATGTACCACCATCTGGTTCATTGGCATTTATTTTATTCACTTGTTCATCATGTCCATTTGTATTAAATGACTCAATGTATGGATCGATGGCATCATATGTGGCTGTGTGTCTCAACCTTTCTTTGGCATCATTAGTCTCCTTATCATTTGTGTATAGCTTGAGTGTTTGTAGAACAGAATGGGGGTTTCTTTCATTCAAAACTGATGCAACGTTCACATACTCGTGCGCATGATCAATGTGACAACTAGCAATCGTAGTTGAAGTCGCAGAGTCTGAAAAATGTATACTTTGATCATGGGTGGCATCGCAGTTACACGCCTGTGTCATACAAGTGTCACATTGATCATCAATTGTATCAACACCAAAGGGATGTGAGATACATTTATGATCATTGGGAATAGTGTCTTCAATCAGGCATGAGGAGTGTGTCTTGCTCAATGCCCGTCTTGCATAAATATGTTCATTTCTGCTATTTTCGCGTGTTTCTACTTCTTGAAACTCATGTATTGTGTTTCTCATTTCCACTTGTTTATTTGTAGCACTTGGGCATTGAAACTGCACAGTTGGTGATGGGGTTGCTTCAAGTATTACAATCTTAGGAAGTGGTGGTGTTGTGTGTATCCCTATATCTCTCTTTCCTGGATTAGAACTTTTGTTTAAGGTTGTCTTTGCAAGATCAGAAGAGACATGTCTTTGTGTTTCAGAATGAGTCGATATCCCTCTATGTTTGACACTTTTTGATGCAAATATCTCAGGCTCGTTAAAGCATTGCTGCGTGCCCCAGCCATGGTCGGATATCTCTGATTTTGACAATGAGACGACATACTCGCGTTTCTTCAAAATATTTTTTAATTTTGATTTGACATTTACAAAGATGGATGGTTCAGAATTTCCGATAAAACTTTCCGGGATGTGTCCATGTTTATTCTCCAAGGTTGTATGTAAATTCGTGGGTAACTTTCTACTTGTTGAGTACATTGCGTCCAAGGATGCTCTGTAATTAGAAGATACGTCAGTACACACACTTGAATCAATCTCTGACAGACTTTTATCCAATTCACTAAGATTACTACCTCTTAAAGGGTTGTAGGACAGTTGCTCGCTTGGACATATACTCACACTTCTATTAAACTCTATATCTGAATCAAATGAAGACAGCATGACATCATTTGTGGATCTGGATGTTTGTGTAAGGTTCGAAATGGAACTGAACCGTTTTACACTACAGGGGTGCTCAATTGGTGATCCGGGATCATTTTCCAAAGGTTGCCCAAGAGAAATCTTCGAAGAAGATGTAGGATTATGTTCTACGTGTTGTGTAAAGGAACGCTTCGAAGGCGATGTACGATCATGCAACGACTGAGCAGGAGAATGTCTTGAGGGCGATGGGGGACCATGATGTAAGGATCGTGTAGGGGAATGCTTCGATGGTGACGTTGGAGTTGCATTACATATTGTTCGTCTTGAATTCGAATCCACAATACACTTTCCAAAAACTTGCTCATTGTTATTACCATCAACCTTATCTACACCGTCAGTATCTCCACCATCAGTGGTATCAGTGTCATCTCCATGTCCGGTGGTACCTTTAGGTTTCATTGGCGCAAGATATCCTCTCAATGGCCAATAGATCACGGCTGCAATGAACCCATGCAATGCTACACCTCCAAACATTAACATCCCGCCTCTGTAGTTGTAGTACAGTATAAAGTACCCTACGGCTAATGGCATGGCTATAACACCCACAATGAAGCCACTTGTATTAAGCACGGGGCCGAGTACATCGCCGACATCTTCGTTTTGCAGCATGTTGAAGTTTGTCGGAACTTGAAGCAGAGCGTTACCAAATCCTGAAATGTAAACTATCCACGTTTTGACTATTGTTCAGGGTCGTTATACACGAAGACTGACTATGCGGATGCAAATTGCAATCTTCAGTTTTATACCTTCAGAATCGCCTAACAGCTATAGTAACCGATGATGATGATGAAACAATTATGCAGGCTTAATCAAATGATATTACATGTATAACTGTGTATGTTTTTTTCAGTAAATGTTTTAATTTCTCAAAAACAAAAATTAACACATGTTCAAAAACATTGGAGAGGTTAAGCTACCGTATAAAATCCAAAACGCAACTTAAACGTATCAATCGGCCCTATACAAATACATGTAGAGTTCACACATAAATAGCCGTTCAGCTCTAGTAGTGGAGAGGTTAAGCTTTGCATATATAATCGAAACTGAACCTGTACGTATCACTCGACCATATACAAATTCATGTAGCCTTCTCATATAAATAGCCGTTCAAATCCAGTGTTTGTTTAGACTACACCATAGCGTGTTATGATTCTATAGTATGTCATTGATGCGGTTTTATAGTTGGTTTTCTAATACATATTTTAAACGAGCTCGTTTGGTAAGATTTTTGGCGCTAAATCATGCATGACTTACATCATTGTGTTCAGCAAGAATTCAACTGTACATCGAAATCAAAATTGACAGCATAGTGTTCAATAGACACGAGTAAAATGGTTCCCGTTGACCCAACGTCAAATATTCAAATCTCCCGTTCTAAACCCGAAACTCTGAAGCTGAAAGAGTATCTGAAGTAGACTAAGCGCGCATAAAACTATGAGCGCTCGATACATTCCTTTGTTAATTTTTGTACTTTGCGTTCACGGTTACGTTGTGAAAAACATCATTAGCTTAACCTCTCCAGTGATAAAGGAATTGACAAATATTTGAAAATTACCTCCTGTTCAAGTTCTAATCATTTTTATAGATTATATTGATAGATTTAATATCACTGAATATGGTATTGCTTGTTGAGGATCACACAACATTACCGTTTATCATTTATTTGAGATTTAAGCAGGGGTCCATTTTTTAAGAAATAATCGTTTTAAAAGATTTCTTGTGAACAGATAATAAATAAGTACAAAAAGCATGAATTATTATATATCAAGAGCATAATGTAAAATTTCAACTGAAAAATTAGATCAAAATGGAATCCATGTTCACAGTGGGGGGTATAACTCATCAAACACAGGATAATTTTTTTAAAGCTTATTGTTACAGCCTTATGTTTTTAATTTGCTTTTTTAGTTAGGATTATAGCATTGACCATTTGTGAATTTTTGAGCACCATATACAAAGTTACAGAACTTCATTTATGAACGATTTCAGCAGGGGTCTATTTTACAAATATTAAATATTTTTCCGGATAGTTCTTAGATGAAAAGCTGGTACATTGTTACAATTAAATTACATCATTGAGGTGTATAAATCATGAAAACAGGTTTCATCCTGATGTCTACAACCTAATTCGTATCACGCCATGTCACAAATGGGGGGAGGGGACATTGACCTCCACTTGGGGATCTTTATTACTTATATGATTTCAATATTACAGTTATATCGGTATCATTATAAACAGGCATTAAATAAGTGTAGACTATTATACATACTTGACAGCAAGAAGATTTATTCAATTTAAACTGTAAAATGAGATAACAAGGGGCTCTAAAATCACAATGATTGGTGTAACTAATCAAATTTTTACTTTATAAGCTTAGTATCATGTCCTAACAATTTAAATTAATTTTAAATAGTTATCCCATTGAACGAAGTTCGGAGGGATAGGGAACGGGCCTCCGTCCGTCCATCCGCCTGTCCATCCGTACGTACGTCCGTTCGGGCAATAACTCAAATACCGTTGGCCCGATTTTGTTCATATTTTGTACACATATACCCTATGGGGGTAGAAGTTCTGCTCGAAAGCCGATTTTCAAAATGGCCGCTCATTTAAAAATAGCGGCCATTTTAGTGCCGATTTTACAGTAATTTAGGTGCAATATGTAAAACTGTAATTATGTTTTAAATGTAAAATAATGATATAGGACATTAATAAAGCTAGAAATGTAGATATTAAATAAGCACATGGCAGCCATCTTGAAAAATGGTGGCCTTTACTTGTTATTTTAAGATTTTAGCTGTAACTCGAAAAGTAGTGGAGTGATTTCGTTCATATCTGGTATGTGAATACTATAAGCATGGCGCACTGTCTAATGACTCTTTTGGTAGAAGGTGGCCATTTTAAACATAGCCGCCATTTTAGCGTATTTTACTATAACTTGAATAGTTGTGGAGCGATTTGATCATCTCTGGTATGTGAATACTATAAACATGACACACTGAATTTTTTGAATATCTTAAAGTGGTTCAGATTTTCATTAATTGAGATTTAATTCAAGATTAATTCAAAAAGATGAATATTTTTGCGTCATTTCTGCGGGCAATCTTCAACAAATACTGGATGATCAGGAGCTGGATATATAAGGGTTATGTACTGGGAGGTTTTGGATACAGGGTTTATCCCAAGGGAAATATGTGTATCTCACGAGGGACCGCAGGGACCGAGGGAGATACACATATTTCCCGCGGGATAAACACTGTATCCAAAACCGACCGTGCATAACTGGTGTATCTCATACTTCAGTGGGTTTGGGGTAGATATAACCTTTACCACCTTTTTCAAATGACAAGATAGGCCTATACTGTAAAATCACAATTTATATTTAACATTTTCATAATATTCCTTCAGTTCAATACAATAGAATTGTAACATTTAAACTTTTTGAAAAATGTTAAACTTCTGTAATTTAAATTTTTAAACCGGGACCGGGATGGATATATTATATCTGCCCGCATTTGGCCTAGAGCGGGACATATACAATATATCCTGCCCGCTCCTCAGATACGATATATATTCCCGGGTGATATCTACCCAAAACCCACTCAAGTATGAGATACGGCAGATTATCCAATGTTTGCAAGGATAAAGATCGAATATCACATGAAGATACATTTGATATGTGGATCAAGATATCATATTTTAGCAAAAAATTCACAAACCATCAAATATCACTTTTAAACTATCGAATATCACATCTTAAAAAGTGATATTCGATGGTTTAAAAAGTGATATTCGATGGTTTGAAAAGTGATATTCGATGGTTTTCAAAATGTCAAAAAAAAAATTCAACATTTTTTTCACAATTTTTTCAATTATTTTTTCAAATTTTTTCTCAAATTATATTTCTCAACTTTTTTCGCTGATGATGATTTCTCATGGGATAAACGGACAATCCTATGGTTTTTCAAAAATATCAATTATATCCACTCATGGATACAAATATCTTCACTCATTCGCTGCACTTACTCATGAAGATATCAATATCCACTCATGGATATAAATGATATTTTTTCAAAACCATAGGATATTCCTATAATACCTATTCGAGAAAAAAATATTTGGCGCGACGGTATTAATTAATTTCAATAGAAAGTTTGGGTTCTAGCATTGCCTCGTGGGACAGTCTATTTTCAACTAAATAAAATAATCAGGGTAAACGCTTTTCTATTACTAAAGGTTTTTGCTTGTAGAGATGCTTGCAGAGCCTGTATCGCAAAAATTGTATATCCTTTCACCCAACATCATATCATATGCTTTATTGATGTCAAAATCCATTTTTATAAATAGTGGGAATAAATTCCTAACTCATCTTAGATTATGATTTTAATGCAATATTATATGTGATCAAATGCTTTTTCCAAGGTTTTAAATTGTAAACAGTGCTTAGTTTCAGTGCTCAAAAGGTGAAAACCTATGTATAGGAATATAGGCAGAAACAATTTGCAGATCAACGAAAACAAGATTGTGTTCAAAGAAAGTGAACTAAATGGAACCATTATTTTTAATCATGTTGAATGCAAAATATAGTCAGGGCAGAAGATATTATTTTCAATTAAACAGATAAAATCAATATATCATGATAATGACCTTTCCGAAAGCCGATTCATAAGTGGAAAATTCATTGTTAACTTCAAAAGTGTCAATATCTAATATATTTCATTATTATGGACCTCTGTTAAACCCCTCAATGATAAGTAAACGGTTATGTTGACAGGTCCTCAACGGGTGAAAACGTATGTAGGAATATATGATTATTATTTAAACATATCATTAACAATTGGCGGATCAACGAAAAACAAGATGATGTTAAAAGAAAGTGAACTAAATGGAACCATTATTTTTATCATTTTGAATGCAAAATATAGTCAAACAGACGATCTTAGGTTCAATTAAACAGATAAAATCAAGATGGCATACTAATATTAATAACCTTTCCAAAAAAAATTCAAAAATATCAAAATCTAATATTTTTTATATTTTTTGTGAACCCCTGTTAAACCCCTCAATAATCAATAAATAAGTTTATTGGTCTCTTGAACATCTAATGTGCATCGAGATAAAATCAATATGTTATACTAGTAAACTTTCCAAAAGCCAATTAATGACTAGATAATCTGTTGTAAACTTCAAAACTATCAAAATCTAATATTTTGGTCGACCCCTTCCTGTTAAACCCCTCAATTATAAGTAAACGGTAAAGTCCTCAACAGGTGAAAATGTACGTGATAATACATGTTTCATCATTTACACATATCATTTAACAATTGGCGGATCAACAAAAACAAGATGATGTTAAAAGAAAGTGAACAAATTGGAAAAATTATTTCTTATCATTTTGAATGCAAAATATAATCAGACAGACCATCTTATTTTCAATTAAACAGATAAAATCAATAGGTCGTGCTAATAACCTTCTCAAAAACCGATTCATGAGTAGATAATCTTTTGTAAACTTCAAAAATAAAAGAATCTAATATTTTTATTTTTTGTGGACCCCTGTCAAACCCCTCAATAATAAGTAAATGGTAATGTTGACAAGTGCTCAATATGTGAAAACGTATGTAGGAATATATGTTTCATCATTTAAACATATCAAAACAATTGGCGGATCAACAAAAAACAAGATGATGTTAAAAGAAAGTGAACTACAGGGTGTCCGGAAAGTAAAGATACAAATACTCTAATTTTAAGAGATTTAGTTTTTTTGTAATGAAATCGCTACAGATTGTAGAGGAACTACATTACAATACATGTAGCAATTTTTATAACATATAGTCTTAATGTGTTAAAGTTACAGTTGTCATGGTTACATTGGTGAGGGGTATGCGGAGCAGTTCCAGGATATCGCTAAATTGTGATTAATTGCTAAAATATAACTATTTGAAATAATGTTTATTATTGTATTTCTTATCAGTTTTTTGTTTTGTTCAATATTGTATTCTTGCTGTCATAGTATTCTCTTTAGTATAACAATATCATTGATACATATCAGAACTATGTAATGTCACAAGTATAATCAAAGAAAAGATATAAGTGCATAGAAAAAGGGTCCCTGGATTAAAAGGAAAGTCAATAGTGCACCTCAACAGTCAATGCCCCAATGCACAAAGCAAAAAAAAACAAATCTTACAATTGAATGTCTTGACATTAACCTTTTGTACAATGGCCCATATTTCCCTGATAATGTCCCGTTGGACTTCTACACTAATGAATATGTAAAAGTAATATTGGTGATAAGTTCAACATAAAAATGAGACTCGGCTGGAAGCCAATGTTATCAGCAATCTAAGAGACTGACAGCAAAGGTTTTGTCAGGTCTTTGAATCTCCGGTCAAAATGCACCAAGAATGTTAAGATAAAGGTGGAAAATACATAATACTGGATAACAGTAGTAATGTCAAATGATTAAATAATGTTACAGTAGTAATCCCTTTGCTGTTGTGTTACATAATTTGATGCATAATAGCAACAGAAGACGGAGTGTCAAGATGATATGAACAAGAGAAAAGAATTATAAAACATAATTGTGACGCTGCTCCACATACCCGCGACTCCTGTTACCATAACAACCATAACTTTTTTATTTTGAAACAATTTGTCATGACAGTTGCAGGATAAATTGTTACAATGTCAATCTACAATCTGTAGCAATTTCATCTCACAACAGGTACATCTAATGAAATTAAAGCATTTGTATCTTTACTTTCCGGACACCCTGTAAATAGAACAATTAATTTTAATCATTTCAAATGCAAAATATAGTCAGACAGGTGATCTTATTTTTAATTAAACAGATAAAATCAATATGCCATGGTAATAACCTTCCCAAAAACCGATACATAAGTAGATAATCTGTTGTAGACTTCAAAAATATCAAAATCTAATATTTTTTATTTTTTTGTGGACCCCTGTTAAACCCATCAATAATAAGTAAATGGTAATGTTGACAAGTGCTCAACAAGTGAAAACGTACGCAGGAATATGTGTTTTATCATTTAAACTCATCAAAACGATTGGAGGATGAACAGGAGGAAACAGCTTAATTAAGGCTTATCTGAGAAATTCCATTATCACTATAGTGTTTGTTTAGACTACACCATAGCTTGCAATGATTACATAGTATCCCATTGATGAAGTTCAATAGCTGGTTTTCTAATACATATTTTAAACGAGCTCGTTTCGTAAGATTATTGGAGTTAAATCATGCGTAACATACATCATCTTCTTCAGAAAGATGTTATACTTTGCAACGAAATCAAAATTCCAAGGATAGTATTCAACAGACATGGGTATAATGATTCCCGTTGATAGCAACGTGAAAATTTAAAATCTCCCGTTCTAAACACGCAACTTTGAAGTTGAACGGGTATCTGAAGTAGACTAAAGCGATACAATCCTATGTTGATTCAATGTACTTTGCGTTTACGTATACGTTTTGAAAAACCGTATTTGCTTAACCTCTCCACTATGTTAGCCTCAACGCAGGAAAACCGGTCTTATAAAAAATTAAAATTGTTCTACAGAGCAAAAACTGTGCCCAAGATTAAGAGGAAAATTTGTTAAATTTGAAACCGTCTTTTTGGTCTATATCTGCAAGGATAAATTGTCAAGACACAAATCTGTGCTAAGACCCATTTTCCTGTGCCACCTGGCTCAATCATAGTTTGAAAGCTGATTTAAAGATGGCAGTATGTGTCTTCCGTATGTTACTGCACTGACAGCTCTAGGAAAACATTATTTATACCAAAAGAATTCTGTGAAACAATCTTACCTGCTACCGTCCCATATGTAAGGAACGTCCACCAGATGTTGGGTACATATGCACTGGAGATGAGACCACCAGAAAGGAGTATGCAGCCCAGGGGTGTAAAGTATCTGGCAGGAAGTATGTGACACAACTGTAGCCAAATTGCATCTGGAATTAAAGACAGTATGTCAAAACAAGGGTCAAAATAACCAATTTCAATTAAAGGCTTATAAATCCATTTCCAATCAAAAATACTTTTCCGAATTTATGCTAACAATATCACCTCCAAAGAGGTTTGAGAACGAAACAATGGAACAAATTAATTAAACATGACATGTTAAATTAAGGTCAGCCTTTCATGTCAATTTTTGCATGCTGTCTTGGAACAAGGAGGATTGGCTCCCAGAGTGCAACATCAATATTCTGACCCATATATGGAGATGTCGTGATTCGAATTCAAGCAGCAACCATTTTGTTCACTTCAACATTTGAATCATGAATTTTGGTCTTATTCCTAAACGAAAAATTCTGAAACTCACAAGAAATGATCGAGATATTGGTTTGTATCTTTTGTACTGTTTATTTTGAATTTATAGTCGGTTATAAATTCAGAAAATAATGACATTTCGACGTTTTCATTGTAAAAAATATCGAATTTCGATACTGGGAGCCAATCCTCGTTGGTCATGGAATAAGTTAACAAAATAGGCTTTGCTCAGCGAACCATATTTTGGGTACATAAATGTTAACTTTTGTTTGACATCTAACAAATATTGTTCTATAGTGTAACCCTAATACAATATATAATTAACTGACTGGCATCCAATATATGTTGTCCCATAGTGCAGTCCAAATACAATATATAACTGACTCATATCCAATATATGTTGTCCCATAGTGAAGCCCACATACAATATATAACTGACTCACATCCAATATATGTTGTCCCATAGTGTAGGCCAAATATAATTTATAACTGTCTCATATCCAATATATGTTGTCCCATAGTGAAGCCCACATACAATATATAACTGACTCACATCCAATATATGTTGTCCCATAGTGTAGGCCAAATATAATTTATAACTGACTCATATCCAATATATGTTGTCCCATAGTGCAGCCCAAATATAATATATAGCTGACTAATATCCAATATATGTTGTCCCATAGTGCAGACCAAATACAATATATAACTGACTCACATCCAATATATGTTGTCCCATAGTGCAGCCCAAATACAATATATAAGTGACTCATATCCAATATATGTTGTCCCATAGTGCAGTCCAAATACAATATATAACTGACTCATATACGGTATATGTTGTCCCATAGTGCAGTCCAAATACAATATATAACTGACTCATATACGGTATATGTTGTCCCATGGTGAAGCCCAAATACAATATATAACTGACTCATATCCAATATATGTTGTCCCATAGTGCAGCCCAAGTACAATATATAACTGACTCATATCCAATATATGCTGTCCCATAGTGCAGCCCAAATACAATATATAAATGACTCACATCCAATATATGTTGTCCCATAGTGCAGCCCACAGACAGACAGTAGAAGTAGGTGATCCACAGAGAACCATTCCTGAAGAGCAAGATAGATCAAAGGGGCGCACGTGAGGGTTCCGTGGTGTACTAGGCAAATGATACAATTGGCGATGGATACAAGCAGATACAGGACTGGATCCTTGGATTTCGATTTCGGGTTTGTCTAAAAATAGAATACAAATTATTGTTATTTGAACGATTTGTTTTATATAGCTCCATGTCTCCTAAAAGGTAACTGGTCAACTCGTACCCAAGACAACTCGTACCCAAGTCAAGTCGTACCCAAGACAACTCGTACCCAAGACAACTCGTACCCAAGTATATGTTTTGTTTTGAATCAAGTGTTGGGCTGGGAATGGGTATAGATATACATATTATAATGGTTATATACAGTTCAGAATAGTTTGAAGTATGTAGAAGAGTTTTTGGAAGAAATCGATTGAAATTTGTGACCAAATATATTGGTCACAGATTCAGATGTTCGAGGGAAAAGATTTATGTTTATTCCACATATTCATAATCATTGTTCACAACATTAGTGGTATTTTTGTATGTTAATGAGTGTTTGGAACAAGTATCAGATCTAATTCTTCTTGAAATATGGTATCAAAAATATAAAGATTTTCAAAACTTGCGCATATTTCTTATTAAACAGATAATCTATTTAGGATTTCATATTATCAGATTAAAGAATGATAATTCTAAGAAGTCACCTTCATAAAATTAAAATAAAAAATATTCTAAATAATATGAATATCAAATATTATTTTGATACTTATTCATACATGATATAATACACTTTGCATGCATGTGTTCAAATATAATCCAATTAAGTTCAAAATGGAAAAGAAATTAACAGATTAAAGTTCCCTTATTAATTTTCTCTGAATGCACTAAGCTAAATTGTTTGATTCATTTGTTGAAAAGTTACTGTTGTAATTATATTCATTTATATATTTGTATTACAAAAAAAAGTTGAAAAAACAAGCCCTTCAAAGCACTTCAAAGGTAATCCAAGTTAAAACAAAATGCTTTGCTTTATCCATTGAGAAAAAATGTCTTCTAAATTCAGAAAAAATATTGAGGCATATTATAACATTAAACATTTTGACACAGACTCAATTTGTTTTCTTATATGCACCCATAATACAGAAAATAAACATGGGTACGAGTTGTCTTGGGTACAAGTTGACTTGGGTACGAGTTGTCTTGGGTACGAGTTGACTAGGAAGCTCCTAAAAGCATCAACCTTAACTTAAAGTAAATATGTTTGCGGGCATAATGGTGCACAATTCTGAACAGGAACTTTTATTAAAATAATTTATTCAGTTCAGGTCTTCTTTTGGCAATGTCTATGCAATCCTAACATAGTTACATGTTACTTTTTAAGCATGGGCTTCTCCTTCCCCGCATTGTCTACATCTTTCAGTTTTTCACAAAGAGTACACTTATGTACCCAAGAAATAGTGTGAAGATTTTGTCTATAAAATTTCAGAAAAGTGAAAAAAATTCAGTGACTTATTTTTTAAAAGTAAAAACTAAGTAGGTCACTTTATTTTCTCATTTTTATACATCTTATTAAAATTATTTTCTACAGTCTTTTCTAAGTACCTCATTGCCCTCTGTGCAAATATGAAAGATGTGGACTGTATATGAAATGAGTTATTCCTGAAAATAACATGTGACTCCAATGGTGACTGATAAAATAAAGGACCCACGGTCCTGTGCTCCTGTGCAGCCAATGATGATTGACTTTATACATGAGAAAGTTCCCTGAAAATGACAAAGTCCTACTTTTTGTCAAATCTTATAGAGTAAACACCAAAAACTGTAATTTCAAAAGCTTTGAAATCTTCAGAGAACATAAGTTGCATATACAGCAATTTCTACAAGTTATTCGAAAGTTCTACTTTTATAAAGTGTCTAGATTTACAGAAAAGTTGACTTTTTGACGTCAAAATCAGCAATTTCTCGGAAACCGGGTGAACTTTGGAAATGGCGATGATAGGTCAAATAGGCATTATGGATATGCATAAAATGAATGTGGATATGACTCAATTCGAATAGCAGTTTTAATTTGTGCGCCCAACGTTGACAGACGGACGAACCAACGGACGGGCGGACGCCTGGTCGATCCCATAGGCTCACTGTGTGAGCCAAATACCAGACGCACAGGTAACATATCTAGGTTAATTAAGGCCAGCGTGCATGTTGGGAAATTTTTTGCATTCCCCAATTGAGTCACATGTTATTTTTCAAACAAGAATAACTCCTTCCCCAAATTGTCTACAGTCTTGCAGGTTTTCACAAAGAGTGCACTTATGTGCCTAGAAAAGCCTTGTAGACAGGTTCCAATTTCAGAATATCTCAAGGGAAAGAGTTTTTGAGGCATTTTTTAGAAAAAGCAACAGACCTATTTTTCCTGGACCAGTTTTTCATGCTGATAAAGATATTAAAAGATGACAGCTCAACGGGGTGGTCACGATACTGCATTTTAGCGTTTTCACCCCCCCCCCCCTAGGAAATTATCTTAGGGGGTACTATAATATTAGTTCATAACTCAAAGGATATATAAACTATTGTTCTGAGTTCTACAGCATACATTGTTAGTACAGAGATGAATACTATCCTAAAGTTATAGGTTGATATCTTTGTTGGTTTCAGAAAAATACAATTAATTAGAAAAAACTATGCAATTTTTGTCATTTTTTCTTGCTTATTTTATATTTGTAGCTTCAAGCAAAATATGATAACTTTAACAGCTCAAAGTAGTATTCTAACAACATTCCTAAGCTATGTGTGATATTGTAATACATCTATTATAGTGATGAAGTACTATTTTGTAATTTTAATATGACTTTATAGTGCCCTACCCCTGGTAAATACAAGAAAGTTGGTGTGGTTTTCTTCTGGTTTTAACATTTTATTGACTTCTTAGTTGAAGATACAATCAATTCTGTCAGTTAACCATGAGTAGCTTTACAATGGTTAACTATTCCCATTAATAGAGGGTTGGGAACTGAAAAATACCAGAACTGTTAAGTGGCATCCTTGGGCATCCCTCTTCAGAGCATTTTCCTTATACTTCGATGAAATCTGCAGGGGATACTATGCGAAACCTATATACTAGATACTAGATACTAATGAAGATACTGAATTCAAATTTTCAATTTTCAGGATTTGGTCCTGGTATGATAGGTAATCTGTATGACAAAAAGAAAAACACTCTGTTGCCATAGTAACAAAAATACCACACTATTTGTTTCCTAAGAAATGTGTTTTAAGAGGTTTTTGTCATTCTCTTCATATTTTTTATTCTAAATATGTCTACAATGTGGGATGATTAAAATTATGGTAAAGTTATCTTTTCTATTGTTCTCTAAAACAGAAGTTGCTATGGCAACACATAGATCATAGAAAAAATGCTGGGATGATCGCTCTATTTGTCAGGAAATTAAAATGGAAACTGAAAAGTGAGTTTCTTCCCACTGAATAGCAATTAATTTGGTAGACCATGGCTGACACGCACAAGAGAAAACGTTTATCAGTTCTATGTCATTTTGTTGTTATTTTTTTTATTTATCGTGGTCTGGGACTTATACACATAATGCCCAATCTTCACTCTATCTTATGAAGAAAATACTATCGTATTTGAAGACATGTCAAAAATTTGGTGGAAATAAATTGTGTCACTCCTGATTTGACCTGCAAAGGTTCAGGTAAGTTATCACAAACAATTTCAGACAGTTATATCTTTGATTATGACTACTAGTATTTCCTGACCATGAAGACAGGTATACAGGGATAATAAAGTCAATCGGACTCGGAGATATTTCACTAGCAATCAACCCATCAATATATTTTTTCAAAGTTGTTGACCTCATTTTCACCAAAAATGCAATCATTTTAACAATGTTTAATTCATTACAGTTCTTTATTTTAATGTATCAAATAGCTCTTGAAAAGAAAATTTAATTTCCCTAAGATTAGTGTTCCCCATGTTATTTCCCCTTTGAAAAAATTCATGCTATCCATTGGTTTCAGTTCATTTTGGTTATCTAAATTCAGTGTCTTTAAAGTCCCTGGAGCAATCCACTTTTCCTCTTAGGAAATAGAACATGTCTCAAAGCATATTCTAATCATGCATTCAACAATATAATTAAAGGTTGCATCTTTGGTAATTTTAGGTCATCATTTTTAGTAAAAAGTATGTTAATTGGGCCATTCCCTTTAATATCACTTAGGTCTGATTAATCATGATTATATTTACTTTTCTTGAAGATAATGAATAGATCTAAAAGGTATACCCATGTTCATGGTCAGAAAATATTCATAATTCAAGTTAGAATTGACCTTTTTCCATATAAATGAAAAATAGATGGCATCATGGGTATTGGTAGAGCTTGGGTAGGGCTAGAATACATGTAAATGTATTGCCAGAGTCACTTAATTTCTTGATTTAAGAAGTAATTCCATTTAGATCAACTTAAAACATCATTGGAATGTAACTATATGATCTTATTGACATGTAGATTGTGATTTCACATTAAAATTGTGATCCTTGTAAGAGTTAATGAACTTTTAAAGGTTTTTCAGCATTGTGTCAATGGGGATTTAGCCTGACCTTTTTTAGACAACCAGAAAATCATTAGAATTTGAATAATGGTAAATAACAGTGCAAATCAAAGTTGTTTTGATAGAGAATTACTCACAGAATTCAAATATGCTCCTTTATAACATTATTATGTAAATACTATCAAATGCTTTAGTCATGACAGTTGAAGTAAACTGAAGTCTTGGTATTTAAATGCAGAATCAGATCTATGTACAGTAAACAAAATTGAAAGCAACATGTACAGTTGACCTACCAATGTATTTCTTACAATCTCAAATATAATATCTCCCATTGGTAATGTTGTTTAAAATTCAAAGTGTAAAAAAGGGGAAATGTTCAAATTCTCCCAAATAATAATGAATAAGTTATACTAAGTTGTACAAGTGTGAGGCACCATCGGTGGGAAAGTCATCTTTGGTTAATAAAAAAGATTCTTAGCTACGTTTCTAACATCTGGCTGTGATCCATCATGGCTTATGAGGACTCTGCTATATGGTCAGATGATGAGAACTAACAGTTTTACGGAACTTTTGCCATGTTTTGCACGTTGTAAATGACCCTTCTGAATGGGTTGTAAAGGTATATACCAGGAGGTATATATGGCTCAAGTAACTCATGCCCTAGTACATGGGGCACTGTAGTACATTACTTGTGCATGATGACCACCGTAGTCTAGTTGCTCAAATGAGATCAATTGATGATTATAATGTTAAGACTTTATGTCAATGTCCTCTCTAGTATGTGATTACACTAGATTTTATTATGATACATGTACTAAATTGAAAACTTACATATAAAATATCTTAACTCCTATATTCTAGTAATAAATGAATTAGAATGTCACCTAACATTTGATGATGGTATGAATTTATTGATTTGGTGTCTATCAATACATGTTTCTAACTTAATGCTGCAAAATGATAAAATTCACCACATCCACTTTCTTCAATTTTCCAGGGGTAGGGCATTATAAAGTCATATTAAAATTACAAAATAGTACTTCATAACTAAAATAGATGTATTACAATACCGCACATAGCTTGGAAATGTTTTTAGAATACTACTATGAGCTGTTAAAGCTGTCATATTTTGCTTGAAGCTACAAATATAAAATTGGCAAGACAAAAATTGTGTATCCTTTTCCTGTTTATTGTATTTTTTCTGAGACCAATAAGGGTATCAACCTATAACTTTAGGATAGTATTCATTTTTGTACTAGCAATGTATGATATACAACTCAGAACAATAGCTCATATATCCTTTGAGTTATGAACTAGTTTCATAGTACCCCCAAGAATATTTTCCTAGGGGGGTAAAAATGCCAAAATTCAGTGTCGTGACCACCCCGTTGAGCTGTCATCTTTTAATATTTTTATCAGCATGAAAAACTGATCGAGTAAAAATAGGTCTGTTGCTTTTTCTAAAAAATGCCTCAAAAACTTGAATTATTAGAATTGGAACCTGTCTATTGTGAGAAGATTTGTTATGTAAAATTTATAAAAAACGAGAAAATTCTAGGCACATAAGTGCACTCTTTGTGCAAAACTGGAAGATATAGACAATGTGGGGAAGGAGTGATTCTTGTTTGAAAAATAACATGTGACTCAATTGAGGACTGCAGATAATTTCCCATCATGCACCCTGACCTTAAACTATACCAATTTTTTTTCAAAAGAATAGAAGTAACAGAAGGATCATGGTAGAATATGCGAAAAATCAACATATATAATATTAGAGACCTAACTTTTGTACATTTTGGATTGTTTGTCAGTTTGTGGACAACATAACAAGTCAGATGTTTGTCCCCTTGTTAAAATATTCTAATAGTTCTCTGCCAATTTATTTTTAAAGGAGGACCTCAAATCGACAAGGCTGAAACTCTAGACTATATCCTCTAGTCTGAAATTTTTTTGAAATTTGGAATGAAAATATTCAGACTGAATTCTCAGGAAATTCAGTCTATTGGATATAGATTAGCTGAAACTCCGTAAATTTCTAAAGGCAATCGTTTTACTCCACAACGAATTACCAAAATATACAAAAAATCGGGTATCTGAAATATAAAATAATGTATTTCCGTATATTATTATATTTCACTGTGGTGTTATGTTTGCTTATTTTTAGGTTTGATTGTCTCATGGTAAGGTATTTTTACTCTAAAGTTTGTTTTCTTTTCTATCAACAACTGTTACCGATCGATCGATCAAATCAGAGTATACGTGTCGTCACAAATGAAATGTTTACTTACCATCTTGAGATATCTATTATTCCTCAAAATCGCCACATTTTTTAGTATTTTTGTTGATCAGTAAAAATGAAAACAACACATCGACCCGCCAATGAATACATATTGCGTTCGAGTTGCACTGTGATATTGTTTACATGTCTAGCTAATCAGTTTTGATAGTGAATTGGATAACTGTGTTACGTTGTGGTTGAAGTAGTGCTGTCCCCAGGTCTGATTTCGGTGATCGGCTAGTAAAAAAGGTTTGAGGGTATCATTTTGTTCTAGACACTCGCTAGAGTAAATTATCCTAACTTGAGTAAAAATGTGTGGTAAGTGAATTCGCTATGGGCAGTTAGAGAGGCGCCATCTATTCATTTTCAAACAGGGGGTAGGGGTATAAGATAATTTTTTATCACATTTTAATAGTAAAATGACATTGAAATACTAATAAAATCTTATCAAAAACATTATTTACAATCAATATGAATTTTCTTGTGTGGATTAGGGTGAAAATAAGGGCATATTTTGAAATTCACTAGAGGGGCGCCACCTATTTTCATACTTCTACCACGTGTAATAACTTATTTTAGATTCGTTAAGGTACGAAATGTACTGGAAAAAATCAATCTAAAGGACCTATATATGTTCATACCACATACTTAAAATTGGATCAATAGCTTTTGTACCGGGGGAGAAAAAAATTCTTGTAATTTAAAAATGTGGCATCATGCAGGATAGGGGTGACCATATCTCACATGATTAACTTCCAAAATATGGAGCATATGTATCTCAAATGTACTCAAAATGGTGTATGTACTCTTGCTTTGTCATAATATTACTAATAAGAAGTAGAAAAATGATTGAACAATTTTAAAAAATATTAATTCTCATTTTGGCTTCAGACGTCCCAGGGGTGACCATATCTCACCTTAATAACTTCCAAAATATGGAGCATTTGTATCTAAAATGTGCTCAAAATGGTGTATGTACTCTTGCTTTGTCATAATAATACTAAAAAGAAGTAAAAAAATGATTGTACATTTAAAAAAATATTAATTCTCATTTTGGCTTCTGACATTCCAGGGGTGACCATATCTCACCTTAATAACTTCCAAAATATGGAGCATTTGTATCTCAAATATGCTCAAAATGGTGTATGTACTCTTGCTTTGTCATAATATTACTAATAAGAAGTAGAAAAATGATTGTACATTTAAAAAATATTAATTCTCATTTTGGCTTATGACATTCCAGGGGTGACCATATCTCACCTTAATAACTTCCAAAATATGGAGCATATGTATCTCAAATGTGCTCAAAATGGTGTATATAGTCTTATCTTGTCATAATATTACTAATAAGATGTAGGAAAATGATTGCACATTTTTAAAAATATTAATTCTCATTTTGGCGTACCAGGGGTGAATATCTCACCTAAATAACTTCCAAAATATGGAGCATATGTATCTCAAATGTACTCAAAATGGTGTATGTACTCTTGCTTTGTCATAATATTATACTAATAAGAAGTAGGAAAATGATTATACATTTAAAATTTTTTAATTTTAGCTTCTGACGTCCCTCAATAACTTTTAAAATTATGTAACATATACAACTCAAATATACCAAAAATGAGGTAGTAGTCTTGCCTTGTCATAATACTATTCATGAGATGTAAAAAAATTATTACACCTTTTTTAATTGAAATTTTCATTTTAGCTTCCGAATCTGACATCTCAGGGGTAATTATATCTCACTTTGATATAACTCTCATATATGCAACATATGCATCTCAAATGTGTGCTCAAAATGGTATATATATTAAGTCTTGTTTTGTCATATTTATTGAGATTCATGAAATCAGAAGTTCAGAATTTATGGATTTGACTGTCTCCCCTGCAGGCTGCAGCTACATATAATTCAGAGACATTAAGATCTACTTTCAAATATTTGCATCTTCTCCCCAAACACTCCTTGGAACAATGGACGATAAGTCTTTTGCATGCCTTGGATGCAACATCTTTTGTATACTGGTAGCCTATCAGTAGTGTGAGTAGCATAGCCTCAATTACCAAAATTGGCCCCTTAACCCCAAATCTAAGAATAGTGCAATTGTTCCAAAAGCTAAGCTCTTCTTTGGGACCTTAGAAGTGTGGGACGTCACAATCATAGATAAATATTTCATTACAATCAATGTATGTTGTATGACAAACATGCAAATTAGAAAATGTTAATGTGGCTAGAAAGATTTATCATTACAAAGAGCTCCTTTTCCCGTATTTTACATACTCAAAATCCCTTAATTCAGTGTATAATCCAAGGTGCATATATTGCAGGCCACAGGATAACATATTAACACCTTACCAACAGTTGCCATTACTTCATAAATGGAGTAAAGTACTCCCACTACTGACAGGCTAAAAGGATTCCTGTATGGATTACAAAAGACGTTGGGTCCAATGTATGCAAGGGAATAATCTCATCCATTGAACCTGTAAAGGGTGTTTGGGGAGCAGATGCAAATATTTGAAAGCAGATATTATTTACCCTGAATTATATGTAGCTGTAGAGGAAACAGTCAAAATCCATTGATTCTGAACTGTTGATTTTATGATTCTCAATGAATATGACAAAACAAGACTATATTTATACCATTTTGAGCACACATTTGAGATGCATATCGTGAGAGTTATCAAGGTGAGATAGCCCTTAGGACACCAGAGGCTAAAATTGAAATTTAAAAAAAAATGCAATCATTTTTCTACATTTCATTTAAGTAATATGAAAAGGACAGGACTTTTCTGAGAATATTTGAGGATTATATGTTACGTATCTTAGAGTATCTTAGAAGTTATTATTATTATATGGTGCAATATGATTACCCTGGAACATAAGAAGCTAAAATTAAAATTTTTGAAATGTATAATTATTTTTCTACTTCTTATTAGTAATATTATGACAAAGCAAGAGTACATACACCTTTTTGAGTACATTTGAGATACAAATGCTCCATATTTTGGAAGTTATTAAAGTGAGATATGGTCACCCCTGGGACGTCAGAAGCCAAAATGAGAATTCATATTATTTTAAATGTACAATCATTTTTTACTTCTTATTAGTAATATTATGACAAAGCAAGAGTACATACACCTTTTTGAGCACATTTGAGATACATATGCTCCATATTTTGGAAGTTATTAAGGTGAGATATGGTCACCCCTGGGACGTCAGAAGCCAAAATGAGAATCAATATTTTTTAAAATGTACAATCATTTTTCTACTTCTTATTAGTACTATTATGACAAATCAAGAGTACATACACCATTTTGAGTACATTTGAGATACATATGCTCCATATTTTGGAAGTTATTAAGATGAGATATCGTCACCCCTGGGACGTCAGAAGCCAGAATGAGAATCAATATTTTTTTAAAATGTACAATCATTTTTCTACTTCTTATTAGTAATATTATGACAAAGCAAGAGTAAATTTACCATTTTGAGTTCATTTGAGATACATATGCTCCATATTTTGGAAATTATTAAGGTGAGATATGGTCACCCCTGAGACGTCAGAAGCCAAAATGAGAATTAATATTTTTTAAAATGTACAATCATTTTTCTACTTCTTATTAGTAATATTATGACAAAGCAAGAGTACATACACCATTTTGAGTATATTTGAGATACATATGCTCCATATTTTGGAAGTTAATCATGTGAGATATGGTCACCCCTATCCTGCATGATGCCACAATTTTAAATTTCAATAATTTTTTTCTCCGCCAGTACAAAAGCTATCGATCCAATTTTTAGTATGTGGTATGAACATATATAGGTCCTTCAGAATGAATTTTTTCAGTACATTTCGTACCTTAACGAATCTAAAATAAGTTATTACACGTGGTAGAAGTATGAAAATAGGTGGCGCCCCTGTAGTGAATTTCAAGTTATGCCCTTATTTTCACCCTAATCCACACAAGAAAATTCATACTGATTGTAAATTATGTTTTTGATAAGATTTTATTAGTATTTCAATGTCATTTTACTATTAAAATGTGTTAAAAATTATTTTATACCCCTACCCCCTGTTTGAAAATGAATAGATGGCGCCTCTTTAACTGCCCATAGCGAATTTACTTACCACACATTTTTACTCAAGTTAGGATAATTTACTCTAGAGAGTGTCTGGAACAAAATGATACCCTCAAACCTTTTTTACTAGCCGATCACCGAAATCAGACCTGGGGACAGCACTAAAGGTACTCGATGAGCAAAATAGGTCCCTGGACTGTAAACTGTTGCTTGTTGCTATAATTAATTGGCTAGATAATAACAAATTGTAACCAATAAGAGTCAGAGTTACTCGAGGCCTGGTTGCAGTTTGCAAACTTCGAGGGGCAAAATACGACAATTGACCCGTCGCAGTTATTAGATGATTTAAGGTGCCATGGTATTTACAGGAAATGACAAAACAGGAAGAAACAAAACCATGCTGGATTTTGAGTATTTTTGAACCAAGATAACAGTTCTATTTTTTACCTCCAGTCAGTTAAACTAGTTCCACGTACCATTTACACGGCCAGGATCACAATGTACATGACCCTAAACATAATGAAATAACTTTTTCAGTCGTTTGAAAATGTGACTGAATAATAGCTAAAAGAAGCTCATCGGGAAAGGTCACTGAACAGAATCTTTTGAATTTTTCAGAAATTGTGCCCAATACATTGCTCTTACTGATACAATCTTTGAAATTTGAGAAAATTGTCTGAACAAATATGGCCGTCATAAGAAGGAAAATAGATCGCTTTTCAATACATTTTTTTCATTTTCTATGAATTGATATCAGATTTTCAAAGATTTTATCATTTATGCCTTGGTCACATTTGCTCCGATTTTCACGACGGCGCCCGGCCGATTGAGTATTTTGTTCAAAATTGAATACAATATTGAACAAAACACTCAATCGGCCGGGCGCCGGCCGATGGATCGGAGCATATGTGACCAAGGCTTTAGAGCAATATATTGGATACATTTTCTGAAAAATTCAAAAGATTCTGCTCAGTGACATTTCCTAAGCTCAAACTTTTAGCTATTTTTCAGTAAAAACTGACTGGAGGTCAAAACAGAACTTTGTTATCTTGGTTCAAAAAATATCCAAAATCCAGCATGGTTTTGTTACTTCCTGTTTTGTAATTTCCTGGTAAGTACCATGGCACCTTAAGAAGTCCACTTATGGAAGCCTTGGGGTATGTTGGTACCAAAAACGTTCTTAAACATATTTTGTATTACCCTCTTGTGTAATCGGAAAACTGTTCTTTTCAATTAAAGGTGAAATAATAGTCCGTATTGCAAGTAATGTCTAATAAACACTAAGATCTACTATTACTTTATAAGATTCACATTTATTCTATATATTTTGTTTAGCTTGATATATCAGTATATATGTGTCACGGATACTAGAATTCCGTTAATATATCAATATATATGTGTCACGGATACTAGAATTCCGTTAATATATCAATATATATGTGTCACGGATACTAGAATTCCGTTAATATATCAATATATATGTGTCACGGATACTAGAATTCCGTTAATATATTAATATATATGTGTCATGGATACTAGAATTCCGTTAATATATCAATATATATGTGTCACGGATACTAGAATTCCGTTAATATATCAATATATATGTGTCACGGATACTAGAATTCCGTTAATATATTAATATATATGTGTCATGGATACTAGAATTCCGTTAATATATCAGTATATATGTGTCACGGATACTAGAATTCCGTTAATATATCAGTATATATGTGTCACGGATACTAGAATTCCGTTAATATATCAATATATATGTGTCACGGATACTAGAATTCCGTTAATATATTAATATATATGTGTCATGGATACTAGAATTCCGTTAATATATCAGTATATATGTGTCACGGATACTAGAATTCCGTTAATATATCAGTATATATGTGTCACGGATACTAGAATTCCGTTAATATATTAATATATATGTGTCACGGATACTAGAATTCCGTTAATATATCAATATATATGTGTCACGGATACTAGAATTCCGTTAATATATTAATATATATGTGTCACGGATACTAGAATTCCGTTAATATATCAATATATATGTGTCACGGATACTAGAATTCCGTTAATATATTAATATATATGTGTCACGGATACTAGAATTCCGTTAATATATCAGTATATATGTGTCACGGATACTAGAATTCCGTTAATATATCAGTATATATGTGTCACGGATACTAGAATTCCGTTAATATATCAATATATATGTGTCACGGATACTAGAATTCCGTTAATATATTAATATATATGTGTCATGGATACTAGAATTCCGTTAATATATCAGTATATATGTGTCACGGATACTAGAATTCCGTTAATATATCAGTATATATGTGTCACGGATACTAGAATTCCGTTAATATATCAATATACCGGATTTTCTCGCATATACGCCCCCCTAAATTTAGGCCCATGGGCCAAAAATCGAATGTAGTACGCTTATACGCCCATGGGCCTATGAAAAATGACTTTAATTGATTTTTTCAATAAATTCAAGAGTATTTTGTCACTGGCAGATCGTTCTGTAGTTACTTTGTTTCAACATTAAGTTCAACGCTGTGCCGTAAGTGGCAGTGATGGATCGTTCTGTTGTTACTTTGTTTCAACATTAAGTCTAAGGTTGTAGGTGACATTTCCTTTATAATTCTTACAAAACATGCGGTAGGACTACAACAGTAGGTACGGTAGTCTTTGAGGAAGATCAGCTCTTCTCACCTTTACGCCCACTGGGCCAAAAATCGAAAGTAGTACACTTATACGCCCATGGGCGAAAAATAAGAGGTAAAATAACAGACGAAATTACCCCTTCTTTCAGTTATACGCCCAGGGCTTATATGCGAGAAAATCCGGTATATGTGTTATGGATACTAGAATTCCGTTAATATACCAGTATATATGTGTCAAGGATACTCGAATTCCGTAAAATGGTAAAATTCTAAAAAAATTGTAAAAAATTATTTTGATCTGAAGGTGTAATTGAGAATTTTGTACACTCAAAGAAACTAGGCTTCTAGAGGATTTTTTTATTGATATTCACCAAAATGGGAATTTAAAAATATGTTGTGTTTAGAAATAAAATGTAAAATTAAAAAAAAAAAATTATACAATACGCTATTGCTGTTATATTTAAGAAAACGTACCAATAATTGATTAAGGAAGATTTGAGCTATTAAGCTATAAACAGATAGCACCCAAGACCCGTCATATCATAAGGCAGGCAATATAAAAGATTTGGCACTTGTTCATAGTATAAATGTACATCACCTCCTCACAACCCCCAATCTGCATCAAACAGCACTGAGCACTGTGCAAAAACGTACTTTTCTAGAGCTATTGCACTGTGCCATATATTGTTTTGAAAAGTTGGTCAACTATATATATCCCAAATGCATCGTGGAAGAGTACCGTTCCATGATGACTTTCGCAATTGCACCAAAATATGTTCTGTCTAAGTACCTGTTATATTGCGTTGTAATTTAGCGTCATTTGTCAAATATACTGTATATATGATAAACACCATGTTCGTTATTGTCCAAGTACCTGTTGTCTAGTACCATGTGTCAGATATACTGTATGTATGATAAACACCATGTTCGTTACTTGTTCAGCCATTGTGAAATTCCAATAGAGCTCAACATCTCTTTAAAACCTGTATATTTGAACATCTCTCTAATTTGAACACCTCCGGTTTTGAATACTGTTTTCAATCACATTTCAGTAGCCATAGACTAGTATTCTAAAACATCAAAACGTAAATAGCTGCCAATCAAAACACTTTTCAAGTGGTGTTTAAGTGGTGGTTCAAATGGTGGTTCAAGTGGTGTTCCAATTAGACGGGTTTTACTGTATACAGTATACAATAATTTCCTGATGTGTATAATACTACTGTTGATCTCTGATCTATGGATTTGCAATAGAGTTCTTCATGACCGTGATTTTATCAATCTCCGCCTCTAAGAGGGAAATTCTACCAAGATATTTCATTTCTTCTTCTCTAATGACCCTCTCTCTAACTTCCTGGAAGTACAAAAATTATAGACATTAAAATTTTGATTTGATTTTAGATTATACAACATTCGAATATGACTGTATTCACGCCTTCTATAAACTCAGTCAATGCTTCAGCTGGGTTATATTTGAGATCAAATTCCCCGGTTCTGTACTAAGTGTTTCGTTCAGTGCACTCATTGGTCAGTTTAGGCCATTCCGTTCTTTTTCCGACCTCTTAGGTCTCGGCACAAAAGCTTTCGAACCCCTCACTCCCTTTGGTCATTCGGGGTACAGAAAACGTTTGTGCGGAGACCAGTGGGGTGTATTCAAAAGTAGTACCCCTGCTCTTCAGTCTATATTTCTTAATATTTAGCTCTTAATTGATAGAAAGGTCTAGTGAATGTTATTACACAAAATATTATGCCCCTCGGGCCTCACTTTGATATAACTTTTAAATGCTGCCTTAAAGATTATAAAGATCTTGATTCTAAAATTCTAAATGACAAACAAATATTGCTCCACAATAAAATGCCATTCTGATAAAATCATATGAGAAGTTTGAGATCTTTTGTTTATTGGTAGAGTTGAGTCAAAATGAAGTTTACTTTTTTGTTCTTTGTCAATTCATTGTCTGAATCACACAGCATACTTGGACGACACACCAAACAACACACCATACCTGAACCTGAACCACACACCATACTTGAACCACACACCATAATTGAACCAATCACCATACATGAACCATACACAATACCTGAACCAAACACCATAAGTGAACCACACACCATAAGTGAACCACACACCATACCTGAACCACACACCATATGTGAACCACAAAACATACCTGGACCACACACCATATGTGAACCACACAACATACCTGAACCACACACCATACCTGAACCACACACCATAAGTGAACCACACAACATACCTGAACCACACACAATACCTGAACCACACACCATACCTGAACTACACACCATAAGTGAACCACACAACATACCTGAACCACAAAACATACCTGGACCACACACCATATGTGAACCACACAACATACCTGAACCACACACCATACCTGAACCACACACCATAAGTGAACCACACAACATACCTGAACCACACACAATACCTGAACCACACACCATACCTGAACTACACACCATAAGTGAACCACACAACATACCTGAACCACACACCATAAGTGAACCTGAACCACACACCATACCTAAACCTGAACCACACATCATACCTGAACCACACACCATAGGTGAACCACAAACCATACCTGAACCACACACCATAAGTGAACCTGAACCCCACACCATACCAGAACCTGAACCACACACCATACCAGAATCACACACCATAAGTGAACCACACATCATACCTGAACCGAACACCATACCAGGACCTGAACCACACACCATACCAGAACCTGGACCACATACCATACCTGAATCACACAGCATACCTGAATCACACACCATACCTGAATCACACACCATACCAGGACCTGAACCACACACCATACCGGAACCTGGACCACATACCATACCTGAATCACACACCATACCTGAATCACACACCATACCTGAACCAAACACCATACTGGAACCTGAACCACACACCATACCTGAACCACACACCATACCAGGACCTGAACCAAACACCATACTGGAACCTGAATCACACACCATACCTGAATCACACACCTTACCAGGACCTGAACCACACACCATACGGGAACCTGGACCACATACCATACCTGAATCACACACCATACCTGAATAACACACCATACCTGAACCAAACACCATACTGGAACCTGAACCACACACCATACCTGAACCACACACCATACCAGGACCTGAACCACACACCATACCGGAACCTGGACCACATACCAAACCTGAATCACACACCATACCTGAATCACACACCATACCTGAACCTGAACCACACACCATACCAGGACCTGAACCACACACCATACCGGAACCTGGACCACATACAATACCTGAATCACACACCACACCAGAACCTGATCCACACACCATACCGGAACCTGGACCACATACCATACACAGGCAAATTACTTCGGACCTCGTACAAGCCCGTACGGAGCTCGTTGTATCAACGGACCGTGTACAACCTCGTACGGACATCTTTCCGAGTCTGGTAAGTGCTTGTAATTTTCGAGCCTCGTAAGAGCTTGTGATTACAAGGCCCGTAATAGCTCGTAATCTCGGATCCCCGTACTTGACCGTACGGTGCCCGTGACGAGCCCCGTAATAAATCGTAATTTTCGATCCCCGTACTTCCTTGTACGGTGCCAGTTAGGAGGCCCGTAATAGCTAGTAATTTTCGAGCCTTGTACTTGCCTGTGCGATGCCCGTAACAAAGCACGTAATGGCTCGTAATTTTCGAGCACTGTACTTGCCCGTACGGGGCTCGTAACAAGGCTCGTAATTACTCATTTATTTTGATGAACACTTTTTGATCGATGAAATAAAATACAGCATACTTGAGAAATGACATTTCAATTATATCTAATTAGGAATTAATATGTCTCCAATAATTTCAAAATATTCTCATGTCTGTATCAACATGATTAACAGTATAAAAGCTAGGAAACAGAATAAACAGGAGGGTTACCATTAGGAGACACCATATTTCTCTACAAGTGAAGTAAATGCATATAAAAACATTTGTGTGCGATATTGGAATAAGTTGAAATGTGATGTAAATAAATGTTACTGTTATCGAATGTATGAATAAACACAGCTATAGATGTGATCAAACATACACAGCATGTTCTGGATAGATATGTGAATCATGTACCATGAGAGCAATTAAAATTTTTTTGATTGGATTTTGATAATGGACCTTGTACGAGCTTGTACGGGCATCGAAATAACGAGCCTCGTACATGCTCGTATGGGCCTCGAAAACAACAATTACGAGCATCATATGAGCTCGTACGGGCCTCGAAAACGAACTCCGTACGAGCCCGTACGAGGATGGTGCTCCTTTTTGCCTGTAATGACTCGTAATTTTTGAGGCTCGTACGAGCTTGTACGGGGCCCAATGTAATTTGCCTGTGTACCTGAATCACACACCATACCTGAATCACACACCATACCTGAACCAAACACCATACTGGAACCTGAACCACACACCATACCTGAACCACACACCATACTAGGACCTGAACCACACACCATACAGGAACCTGGACCACATACCACACCTGAAACACACACCATACCAGAACCTGAACCACACACTATACCGGAACCTGGACCACATACCATACCTGAATCACACACCATACCTGAACCACACACCATACCAGAACCTGAACCACACACCATACCTGAACAACACACCATACCAGAACCTGAACCACACACCATACCTGAACCACACACCATACTGGAACCTGAACCACACACCATACCGGAACCTGGATCACATACCAGAACCTGAACCACACACCATACCGGAACCTGAACCACACACCATACCGGAACCTGAACCACACACCATACCGGAACCTGAACCACACACCATACCAGAAACTGCACCACACACCACACCTACCTGTTTACTTAGAGCTTCAGTATTTTTGCCATATCTGGTATAGGAAACATTCTTATGTTTTATTGTGTAGAGATCTCCTGATGGTTGAACAACAATCTCTGAAATTGCATGTTTTACATATTTAAGTCACATATTTAAGTCATTCAGTATGGTTGGTACAATTGAGTATGGTACAATTGAGTGAGATACTAAAAATTGAGTGTTACAATTGAGTGAGGTAGTAAAAATCAAGTATGGTACAATTGAGTGAGGTACTAAAGATTGAGTATGGTACAATTGAGTGAGGTACTAAAATTGAGTATGGTTCAATTGAGTGAGGTACTAAAATTGAGTATGGTACAATTGAGTGAGGTAATAAAAATTGAGTACGGTACAATCGAGTGAGGTACTCAAAATTGAGTATGGTATAATTGAGTCAGGTACAGTTGAGTGAGGAACTAACGGTTGACTACAATACAGTTGAGTAGTGTGATAACAATTGAGTATGATAAAGGCACTAGACTCAATGGAAAACTGCAAATGTTTTGACTTAATAATGTCACATATTTTTCTGAAAAACGAAGACAAGACGTACCAACGACATAGAGATTTTTAATATACTGCCTCGTAGCTAGGTTCCCATGGCCCTCTCTCAGAACTACAGGGTGGGTCAGCACCTTGGATATAAATAACATCTTTTTATATAACTATACAGGGTGAGTCAAAAGCTATGAAGTTAATCAAAATTTAAAAGTAATGCCTCAAAACTGTTTCCGAGTTGGAATTTGAATAAAATAAAACTATAAATACAGTTCTATAGGATCTAAACAGACAGATGCTACTCTATAATGTTCATCTATTCGTAAAGGCATTAAAATGAAAATTGTCACCATCTGCCATTTGTTACATTTTTTACAGATGCCAAACAACTTATGCCAACTTCTGAACACAAACATCATCCAAAAAAGTTTGGAGACTACACAACAACAGAATGGTACAGTGTTGGAGACTACACAACAACAGTATGGTACAGTGTTGGAGACTACACAAGGTTGGAGACTACACAACAACAGTATGGTACAGTGTTGGAGACTACACAACAACAGTATGGTACAGTGTTTGTAAAGGTTGTGGTATTAAAAAGTAAAACTATCTTTCTTAAAACAAATCATCTTTTTATGATTTTCATTATTTGTCAAAGTAATATATTGAAATTATTATATTGGATTTAATCCCAGTTTTTTTAGTAGAAGAAAAATTTTCCCACCTGATATCGTTTGAATGAAACTGTTGGGTGAAACTTTTGCGTCATGAGGCGGTCCATGCCCAGCTTAAGTCCATCTCTTCTATCATGGTCCAAGACCATGCCTTCAACTTTGCGATCAATGGAAATACCATAATATGTGCTCCCTGGCTTATCTGGAATAAATGGAAATGACATAATATATGCTCCCTGGCTTATCTGAAATAAATGGAAATGACATTATATATGCTCCCTGGCTTTTCTGACTACAGGCAGAAGTAGCTCCCACAAATTTTTCATATTCTATCGTAATCAGGGATTCCCCATTATATGACGTCCAATCAAATTACAGGATGTGATCACGTAAACAATCATGAGCACATGCTCATTCAGAGCTGCGCATGAGTAAAGTAAATTTGAAATTGTGGAAATGGCGTTTATTTCATCATTTCAACATCATCATTTCAAAACTATGGTAATACTATTGAAGTTTGATCCAAACTTGTAGAGAATACTCATAAAATAACAGCGGTCAAGTTCAATGGCAAATGAGGCCTGTTTATAAAATTGATTATCGAATGTGCCGAATACTACAGGTCATCTTTGGGAAATCTTCCCCCTGGACTACAGGAAGGGAAATGAGATAATGTATGCTCCCTGGTTTTGCTGAACATAACTAAAAAGTATATGCTTTTGAAGTTAAATTAATGAAGATTAAATAATTACTGACTGATTCATTTGCATGGTTGCTTTATTCAGAGCGATCATTTGCCGCTTATGCTTTTTTTTATAAAACTTTGGCAATCGATTGTTTGTATATTTTTGTTAGTTAATGGATTTAAATTAAATAAAAATAACTAAAAAATTAATTGAGGAAATGACAATGATTTGTTTCACAAACAGCAACTTTCAACAGCTTGTCCTGCCAAATAATATACATGTAACATGAATTAGACAAAATATAACAACAAATAACAAACCTGTTGACGAATTCAGGAACCCGCAGCAATATTTCAAAATGTCCTCCTCAACAAATTCTCCATTGGAGTTCAAGGGTCTTATTTCATGTGTACTGTCATTACAGAATGGAACTGTATCCCCTGTTGGAACAAAACCAAAGTGATTACAATAATTAAAAAAATAAATAAAAAATTGGTGATTTACTAGAATTTAGTAATATATAGGTAATAGAAAATATTTGATGTAGAACGAACAATTTTTCACCCTTGATCTCCTACACATAGCTACTAAGTTAAAATGAACCAGTGATTGCGGATTTCTGCATTGAACTTTTACATTATAAAGACTTATTGACAAGTATATGTAATAAACAATACCTGCTGTAGTAAAATAACAGTACCTTGAATAAAGTATTTTGAGGATGCAGACTTGATGTAGTCATGTGCCGTATTCACAGTGTGACTGCCCACTGGAAGCAGAGATGTACAGATACAACTACAACAGTCAATGTTACCTATTTTGGTCAAGATACCTAAACAGGATCTCTTAAGTAATAATTATGATTTTAGATAAGATAATTGATCCATTCTTTTCAAATATTCTGCCAAATATCGACATATATGGAGTTATGTTGCAATTACAAAAATTCAAAATCAAATAGCTGCCAAACAAACAAAAAACAAACAAGAGGTGATCAACAGATGGCACAGCACTTGACAGTTGTGAAAATATTTATTATGGGTCAATGTTACTTGACAGTGGGCAGTAATGGTGCATATAGGTGAATTACTGAATTAATTCATGGCGATGGTCGGCCATGGTCAACTCATGAGCTGCAGTCAGCCATGGTCAACTCATGAGCTGCAGTCGGCCATGGTCAACTCATGAGCTGCAGTCGGCCATGGTCAACTCATGAGCTGCAGTCGGCCATGGTCAACTCATGAGCTGCAGTCAGCCATGGTCAACTCATGAGCTGCAGTTGGCCATGGTCAACTCATAAGCTGCAGTCGGCCATGGTCAACTCATGAGCTGCAGTCGGCCATGGTCAACTCATGAGCTGCAGTCGGCCATGGTCAACTCATGAGCTGCAGTCAGCCATGGTCAACTCATGAGCTGCAGTTGGCCATGGTCAACTCATAAGCTGCAGTCGGCCATGGTCAACTCATGAGCTGCAGTCGGCCATGGTCAACTCATGAGCTGCAGTCAGCCATGGTCAACTCATGAGCTGCAGTTGGCCATGGTCAACTCATAAGCTGCAGTTGGCCATGGTCAACTCATAAGCTGCAGTCGGCCATGGTCAACTCATGAGCTGCAGTCGGCCATGGTCAACTCATGAGCTGCAGTGATGGCCATTTACATGCAAATTGTCAGCACTTGCCATTTGTTACAGATGCCAAACGCTGACTGTATGATTTTTTGTTTCAAGTTGACATGTGTGTCATACCTATACTTCCTTGTAAATTAGGGCTTGAGATTGGTGCATGTCCAGTCACATGACTTGGAGTTGAGGTTACAGTGGACACCATGTAGTTACCATCAGATATCTGCAAAATGAAGAAAGCATTATGAAATTAAAGGTTGTGATTGGTACATTCCTGTCACATGACCAGAAGTATACAGTAGACAGTTAGATAACAGTGGGTGTCTATAAAACAAGCTTTTATGTATTTCACCTGGATAAACAAAACATTTTTAAATTACTGTAAAACTTGTCCAATCTGAAGACCCTTACGACTAACCTAAAGTGTTCAGATTAGCAGGTGTTCACAGTCGAAATGTTCTGACATGCGCAAAGCTCTACTTAGTGATATTTTAATTTCAAATATAGCGGCCAATCCGATGTCTGACGACCCTTACAAAGAATCTAGGCAGTGTGCATTTTTACCTCTTGTGAAATAACAAGTGGAATTTAGTAGTTGTTTTGTGTTTTATTATCATTCTGCATCGTAAACCTTTGTGAAGTGGTGTTAAAATGTCAGCAGAAATAAATTTCCATATGATAATCGAGTGAATTAGATAACAGATTTTTCGAAAACCCGTCTCCTGCTAATAGTGTAAAAACTTGTATTAACATGCTCAAAAGTGCCAATGTGCACATCAATGTCAAGCTAAATCAATGTTGTGTCTAAAACAGGTACTGTAACTGATCTACTCAAAACAGCTTGTCATTCACGTATACATGCTTAGCAAACACGGCGAAATGATCTGAATCTTGGAATTTCGTTCGAGAGCTAGTAATGTTTGCTCCGGTCTCCGTCATTCATCAGACTTCACGCATGCTCAGGAGAAAACCATCAACCAATAACGTTTATAAATCAATTTTGCGCATGCACCTTACAAGGGTAAAGAAATTCGTATTTATAAACGAACCAATTTGAGATAACCCAATATCAGTCATAGAAATCTGGCGATCCACGAAACTCACTTCAAAAAATCAAATGCGGACTGACGGCGTATTCTACTATGCTGGGATCTAAGATTTTCAGTATAGATAAAGTCTTTTATGATCTTTCGAATGAGGCAACTCTCTAGTTCGAAAGACAATCATATCAACTTGAACAAAAGTTAAGTTTTGAAGAAAAATTCTAACATGCGCAGATGTCCCATTTTCGTTGTACCATATTGACTGTTCACATTTTAAGGTTTCTTAATTAATAATTATGTCAGTCTATATGTATTTCATTTCAAGGTTTCACAAACATGTAAGTCGATGGGATATAACAATTCTGGAACTAAGAAAAAGTGTTCATAATAGATATACAGGGTGTCAAATAAGTCCCGTCCCCCCTCTACAGCCAAAACCAAGATATTTGGTACCAAGTGTGATATATCATTGGGAAGGTCTTCCAAAGTTACGTTGATTGGTATATATCTGAAACATGTCAATCAATCTCATAAATTTTTACATTGTATCAATTGAGGTGACCATATGCCTAGAAACATGGCAATGTGGCGTATTAGGCAGGATTTTAAGAATCGGGTATAAGAAAGGTCGAGGGACCAAAAGTAGGGGTCACACGGTTAACCGTGGCTTGCGGTTACCGCGGTTCATACCTCCACGACAGTTAGCTCGCACACAATCTTGAAAACTGCGGTTCTTGAAGAACAGTGACATTTTCAGTTTCACTTCAGAAAAATAAAAATGTAAACTCGGAATTAAACTCCATTTCAAGCTTTCGTGTAATACCAATTAACTAAACATCGTCTGGAATCGTTAATCATCATGCAATAATGCGAACCATACCTGATATTTATGACGATCTTCTGATATAGACGGCAGATAACAAAAACAAAACGAAAATGTTGATAAATTTCACGGTCACGAGTAAATCTCAGGCACGACATGGAAATCTGAAATTATAGAGGGCGCAAATCCAAGTGCACTTGTACCGGAAGTCTGTCTAAATATGGCAGGACTACACAAAATTCGCAAGTTTGGATGAATGTGAAAAATACCTCGATATATACAAGTGATTAATCTTGATCCTAGGTGATTGTTATTGATCTTAAGTGATAATGTTTTTGATCCTTAGAAATATCCTCATGATCTTGATCTTTGGTATCTGTCTTGATCCTTAGGGATTGGGTCGATCCTAAACAATTTTAGAGGTGATTGTTCTTAATCTTAAGGTAACTTATAACTCAATAAAAAAATCCAAGATGGCCGAAACCAGGAAGCACATGGCATTTGAGTATAATCTGATCATCAAAATTAACTGTCTTAAGTCCATGGTTCCACTTATCATTTGTATAACCAGGCTCACTGTGGTAATGCAAATAGAAACAGTAAACATTTTGGAATGGGAATTTGAGTCCTCTGAAAATGTGACAGAAAAATTGACAAAAAGAGTAGCACGGCAAAGGTCCCTGAACATTTTTTTTCTAATTTCTCTGAAACATCCCTTTAATATAGCCCAAAATGGAAGGAGCTTTAGAATTTTGAAATCTCTCATACAGATTAAAAAAAATTGAAAAAAACAATTTGAGAAGTGTACTTTTTTCCTTATTTTGATCCCAATTTTTTTAGCGGGTAATTTTTCAAATTTTCGTTGCTCCTTCGTTTTTGATATATAAAGTTTTTTGTTGTTCTTTGATGTCTTTGTAATGATTACAGTGCACAAGCATATGTGAAATAATAAAAACGACTTCTCAGGAAGAGTTTGAAAATTTCAAGATTGTGAAATTTTCAATTTTTTCTGAAAATCGATTAAGTTAACAGTCACCTTAAGTGATTGTTTTTATTACTTTAAATTTTTCTTGACTCTTCTGGGCAATTGTTTGGTTTTGATTCTTAATATTTTGTTTTGATACTGTGATTGTACTAAATTGTTCTAATCTTAGGTGATTGTCCCTGGTTTAGGTGATTGTTCCTGATCATAAGTGATTTACCTTGATCCTTGATATTTTTTCTTTACTAAGCTCGGTCAGTAGGAGGTTGATTGTTTTAGATCATATTAATTGGTCCCTATGTGATTTGTGATCGTGCTGGTCAAATGTGGTTGTACAATAGACTATTAATATACTAGTATTGTCCAAAATTTCCCGGGAAATCTTTGTTTCATTTCGCCGTGTGTAAAATGAAAATGCGCCCTCTATAATTTCAGGTTTCCATGTCGTGCCTGAGATTTACTCGCGACCTAAATTTCACCGGCATATTGACCCGGAAGTGACCTACGCTAAACATTTCGCGCAATCCTATTGGTTGATAGAACAGTATACTGTAAAAAGCCGAACGCCGAATGCATTGAATTTGCGAACGAGTCACGTTCTGTGTATAACGTTCGCCTTTGATCCATGTTGAGTCCTGACAAAGTGTTGAACTTAAGTTATATTTCTAAAGAAAACATTTATTCAGTTTAGTGAAGTACTGTGCTAATTTTGCCAACAGTTGACAAGTTATTTTATGTGTTGAAAAAACTTGAACATCAAACAAGAAGATCAACACAGTGAACACACAGATATTTTGGGAGGGAGAGAGGGAAAAAAGACTGAACAAACAAACAAACATCGTGTGAAACTGGATACTTACAATACTGAATACAATAAAACACTATGACACACTTAGTATGTTTTCTGATTTTCGGATCAATTTCATATATTTTTGCTCATTTCACGAGGCCCGTGAGAACCGCAATCAGAACCGAACCGAACTGTGAAATACAATCACCGAACCGAACCGTGAAATCTCAAACCATGTGACCCCTAACCAAAAGATGACTAAATATGTTTATGGCGATGAATTTAACCAATTTCTGGATAGGGTTAGATGTGTAGAAAATAGAGGTGCAAGGAAAGTGGTGAAAACCTTTTTGTAACAAGTGGAATGCGAAGAAGATTAACTTTTTGACGTATTTCTGAGGTCATATCCTTGTCATTTTGACGCAAAAAAGCTTCTTAAAGGAGGGCACGTTAACTACAAAAGACATCATAAGAATATAGGTAAATTTCATCCAAAATACTTGAGAGTTGGTGATTTAACATAACTTTGGATGATCTTTCCAATGGTATATCACACTAGGAACCGTCTGTTAAGGTTTTAGCTGTAGCAGGGGGGATGGGACTTATTTGTCTAAACTGAACACCACTTTGATTGGCCAAAAGTGTTCAGATTAGCAGGTGTTCACATTTCAAGATTAAGAGAAACTTGCAACTGAAAAATGTTCAAATTGAAAAGTGTTCAGATAAGAGAGGTGTTCAGATATACAGGTTTTACTTAAGTAACACAGTACATGGTACTAAGATTATATTAACCTCATAAAACATACACAACAAATATGATTTATCCAACTAAACAGTATTATCTCTAGAAATTCTGTGAGAGAAACCAAGATTCAAAATACCTCTTTTAGCCGATCTGTATCTATAGCACAGTTGCGACCTTGAGACTTTGACCTTGTACCAGACCTACTAGGGGACTGATTGCGCCCTCTGGTTTTAGATCTGTAAACATAAAATACATATTCAAATGTCCTAAATGATTAAAGATTTTTTAATTTTTTTTATAACAGGGTTTACTATGTTTCAAAAGACAAGCTGCAGTTAATTGAGGCAATTTTGTAAATTTTATAACTTATTATTACTTAAATAAAGAAATGACTACATGCAGGGGACAGAAATTGTCAATATTAGTATTGTATAAATAAAGTTTACTATAATAATATATTGTTTGTTTTATTTCATGCTGATTCCATTGTTTTCCTCTATTTGCTACTTCAAAACATGAACACCTTGACATTTCCTTTACAGCTCTTCGTGACTGTTCAAAAGAGGTTATTTGCCTATTCATTATAATCAATGTGATTTCTAATTAGATAAAAACTAGTATTGGTTTATAATTCAATACACTCTTTAGTTCAAAAGCAGCATGTTGTAACCATAGCAGTATGATGTAACCAAGGCAGTATGTTGAAGCTTAGCTATGAGAGGCGTTCTTTATTTAATCCCAAATAGACATAAAATCTGTTTTGAACTGAAATTTATTTCACTACATTTTACAGGCGGAAGTACTGACAAAGTGAATGTCAGGAAGCGTTGTCTAAGTACACTGATCGAACTTTCATACCCCACGTCATTCCCAGGTAAAATAGATCAATACAGTAGTTGAATTATTAGTTAATGCATTACAGGGGTGTATTGACTTATGTATAGTAGAAGAATATAAAATGGCATAAGCAAAAATGAAACAAGAACACTGCATTGTATTCATCGGACAAAATTGGGATTTAAAATTGTCACAAATTACAACAATACCAATATTTACTAAAAGAAGAATATAAACTTGTGTTAGCAAAAAAGTAGCAAGAACACTAGCATTGTATTCATTGGACAAAATTAATCTTGTGCCCCCTGTATACATGATCAATAAGGCTGGCTTTGGAATCCATGGTGGGATTTAAAAATGTCACAAATTACAACATTACCAATATTTACTAAAAGAAGAAGAATATAAAATTTTGTAAGCAAAAAAGTAGCACGAACACAAGCATTGTTTATGCTACTGCATATATTCATTAGAGTACTGTACATATATTTTTGGATTCTAGTGCTGTATAAGTATTTTCTAATGATTTGATAGACAATATTGGAATGTTAAAGCTGACCTTGGAAGACAACAATAAACAGAGCGATATCTATCAATTTAAAATGGTCAGAACAAGATTACAGTGGAGGAAAAACACCAAGTTTACTGGACCATATCCTTTGGGCAAGTACACTACACCTTCTAAATATACTCAGTCAAGACAAAATATACTTCAAGAAACTCAACACACAAATGAAGCAGAGGCAGCTCATAAGAGAATTATTCCAACAGAAGAAATGCAAAGACTATCAGACTTTGTGGACTATGTCTCTCACCATGTTGACATTAGAAATAGATATACTCCTGAAGAACTCCAACGTCAAACATCATATGTTGAAAATCTAGTTCAATCCATCTGTATAGATGTGGGTATAAAAGATCCAGCTTTGATAGTGAATGAGATAATGCGTAGAGGAAGCTACTATGATGGCACTAAGATACTTCAGCCCAATGAGTATGATTTCCTTGCAGTTCTCGCTATGTTTGATAGTAAAGTAACTGAGTTGAAGGATTTGAGTGAGAAGTGTCCATATACTGGACAAGGGATCTATCACATTAAAGTAAAACGTGAGTCTTTAGAACATCCTCTGCCTGATAATTGCATAAAGGAGCATGAAGGTGACAGCTACATTCAAATATATCTTGTTAAATCTCTGCTATTAAACAGTGTAGAGAACACTCTTAAGAACATGAGTGATGTCAATTTTATTGGAATTAGAGATCATAAAAGGGATCACACTACTAAATACAACCAGGGTGACATAAGTCTAGACGAGCACATGTTATTGGACGAGAAACGCTTACACGGGCCAAGCATTTGGCTACGTGTTGGTGGACCAGTGTGTACTGTTGATATCGATCTCTGCTTCTGTATAGAGCAGATTGCACACAAATTAGGGAGAAGTGTCCTGGTTATTAAACGCTACTTGTATGGTAATCCTCATTATAGACTTTGTAAAAACATGGGTCATTGGATGGAATCTGTAGTAGATCCTCCCGATGACAACATCCACCAACTAACACATACTCATCATCAACTTTTGTTACTGATCAAGTATGTAGTTCATCTACTTGATAACATGGATATAAATCTATACAACCCTCCTTCATCTTATGCTCTGAGAACAGTACTATTGCACCACCAGAGGCACTGCAATTCTGCACGTGTAGGGGAATGTTTCATGGAGGCTATGAAGTACATGTGTCGTGACACTGATACAATTGATTATCATCAGAATAAATTTAGGATACAAGGATCAAGTTTTGAGACAATACCAGACATAATCTATCCACAGAGGAAGATCCATTTTTGTCATATATTTTCTATGCCGACACCTGCAATGTTACTCTGGCTGATACAACATGTTAGACATACAAGTGACTGTAGCTGGTGGGAGAGACTAGTAGATCCAACATTTATCAACAATGTTGCTGAGACTGAGATATTACACTCTTTAGTAAATGACATGAAGAGAGTAAATGTGAGTCATTTGAACATTGTAACGGAAAGAAGTGAAACAGGAGAACGTGAAATCAAGTTACAATGGAAGCACCAGAATGAAACTGAAACCATATTAGAGTTTGATATAAATGATTAGTTCATTCAAGTTAGAGACTCCCCATACTCAAATGCTTAAAAACAGTATGAAATAACAATGTTGAAATTCAAGATAATATCATCAGTTACTTTCTCAGATTTCATGTTCATATGAGAAATAAAGAATGAAAGTGAAATGAGGAAATAAAAGATGTTATCCAGGGGGTCATTAACAGAACTTTCGCAAAGTTACAAATTCCTAATTCGTAACTTCATGAAATTCGTAAATATTTAAAAAGTTACGAATGACTTACGAATTCGTAAAGTTACGAATGGGCCATTAACAGAACACTTTCGTAAGTGATTCATAAGTTTTATCGTTCGTAAATGAATTTCAAATTGTGACGTCATCTTATATCATTATTTAGCACAAATAGAAATATGATGTCATTTGATATCATTGCGCGCTGTGATTAAACCTGTCTCCGCGATTTCAAAGATTCCCAGCTCAGGAACATATTTGCTTATTATGTAAGAATAGGTGGATATTTTAGCTTGAAACTTAGCATGCATATAAAGAACAATTTTTTTTGCCAACCTGTATACCTTACATAAGAACTGGATGAGAAATGTGCCATTCGCAAAGTTATGAAAGGGTCTGAGGTGCTATTAAAGTTACGAACGAAAGCATACGTGTTACGTTCGAAAATAACAGAAAGTAAAAACAGCAATTAAAATATGATAACAATGTATTTATATTTTGAAAACTAAATAATATAACAATAATATAAAGGTTTAATACTTAAGTGATGTCCAATCAATGATACGGCTTATTCTTGATGTCGATAAATGTCGTTGACGATCCTTGAGAATGTTCCAGATCACGAAATGTTTCAATAATCGTTAATAGTTCTCCAATGTTTGTAATAATCCAATAATGTTTGTTGTAATCCTATAATGTTCGTATCCAATAATGTTTGATGATAATCCACAAATGTTTGATGATAATCCACAAATGTTTATGATAATCCACGAATGTTTATGATAATCCACGAATGTATATAATAATCCGTATATAGTGTGTGTTGTAATATTTGTCCATATAAAGTCCTCAGGTTGTGTTTTGTAGTGTTATAAATGTTCCCACAGTAGGTGTCTGTTATATTCCGCTAAGAAGATGTCCTTTGATTAACTTTGAAATTCTGCTTTATTTAGTTCCCTTGAGATGTCCAGTTGATGACTTATAATTATCTGCTACAGAGTAGATGTCCAGTTATGATGACTTAATTTTCTGCTACTGAGTCCACTTTGCAGTTTTATTTATAATGTGAAAGAATGATCCAGAAACGAATCTTCTGGAACTGCATCTTGATTGGACATCTTTAGTGACATGATTATATTTTAATGAATGGTTATAATTTCTAGAACTCTCTGGATGGTCAAGAGTTAATGAGTCATTCAGTTCAGTTTTGTTTACAAGATACAGTGTATAATGTCATTGTGACCTTGACCTAAGATCTCTAATAAAGAATAGCTCAACATATACAGCAAGCATAGATTACAAATTAAACTATAGGTGAATAGAGTAGAATATAATATACATGTAGCTCACTACTGTAACAATACGTGACGTCATTTTTTCATAACTTTGCGAATCGTTCGTAACTTTACGAAAGTTCTGTTAATGCACATTTACCAAATTCATAAAATTAACAATTGACTTGCGAATTCGTAACTTTGCGAAAGTTCTGTTAATGACCCCCAGAGAATATGGAGCAAAAGTCATTATCTACTGTTATTCAAATGTGAACACAAGATTTCCATATACAGGGTGACCCAAAAAACAGAACCATTCTAATGTATAATAATTCTCCTATATCTATGCAATCAACTTTACATGTACTTTTCAGGCTAAAAGATGAGCCGCTAGGGATGACTACTTAACATCAAAGGCCCATGCTATGCACAAGCTACATGCAAGAATTTGGGGCGCTATATCTCTTTTTTCTGATAAAACATTGAAGTAAATAAAAGAATAGTGTTTGTGATTATACAGTCCTTCTTTCTTTGTAGCCCTATGTAGTAAAACTGTGAAATTTGAGTTTGTGAAGCTCTGGACATAGTGATTAAAACACTGAAGTATGTTATAGAATTTAGAGGTTATTGATGTACAGATTTGAGTCTCTATGACAGCACATGCTCCGTATGCAGGCCTCCAAAATCAATCCAGAAAACCTTCTTTCTTTTTTAAGAAGGAGGTACGGATTAGGACACCTGCTTAGGAGGATGATGACAGAAATATGACAAATCAGGATGAATGAAAATAACAGAGTAAGTCTATTTGAGATATCAAAGTGGGGAATTATAGTTTTAGATATTGTAGTTAATACCCCAATTACAATGATTATTACTTTATGAAATTGAGATACTGTATTATAGGCTATTAATAAGAATGTTGTAAAGAATCCTCGTATAAGAATTTTTTAAAAGATAAAATGGAAATGATTTTTGAAAATTTTCTTTCTTTAAAGGGTTCCAATTAGCATCCCGTATAAAAACAATATGGCGGCTCCAGGCGAATCAACTGGATCAGTCCATTTTTAAGAAATAAGGGGAGTTCTGTAAAATCCAGTTTATTGAAATTGTCTTTGAGATAAAGTTATCCGTTTATAATGATTTTGAAAACGTTATCCAAAGAGTGATTACGTTCAAAGAATACATGTACAACAGCCAATCCTTGTATCCGTGTAAATCCTTGTATTAGAAACCGGTTTGTCTTGCTTTGTTTCATTTAGGATATTTCATATGCCAAGCTGTGTGCTATTACGTTATGGGGAAATTTAGATGCCAATTTTTCCTTATTATGCACAAATAGAAGATCCTGAAACTTCACCCATAAATGTGGAATTGATTTGTCAAAATAAAAATCACCCTTTTATAAATGTGTGACGATTTATAATATACTTATGCTATATAACAGTAAGAGGTGTTGACACAACGACCTCGAACCTGTAAACCCTTGAGTATTATTCCAGGATCGGGCCTTTTATACTAAACGGTGAGCAACACCAGAAACGAACGTTCGATTTGCTAAACGATATGCGTCACCCTTTAAAGACAAAATATCTAAACAATGCACAGGAGAGGGTTGGAATTAAGATAATTTTTAAAAATGCCCTGACTGACCTTGACCTAGTTTCATCATCACTTTGCTCACCAGAGGACTCTTCTGTGCTGGTCAAATATTTTGTAATATAGATGTCACTTTCTCCCAGGTATGTGCGCATCACTTGCATAAGTAGCTGCCTTGTCTTTACTGGAAGAGCTGCTTCTGTCAGGTCGAGCAGGCATCCAACACCTGAAAATACAATCTAAAAATCAGATACATTTTTTGGCATAATTATTTTTTGACAGCTGTAATACCAGGGGGTACACTTCAAAAATACCTGAGGGGTTCACACTTGAATAGTGCTCTGAATGGTGCATGCTTTTCAAAGAGGGGAACCGCCTAAACACTCCCTGGTTATGGGCCTGCTGGCATAATTTACTATTAATCATAACAACAAAATTTTTTTTAGGTGAAGTACTTTGTTTATCATTGGCTGTCAAGTGAACATCAACGTCATGTCGCATCACATAGTACATCACCATGAGAACACAAATTAAACAAACAAACCTAAGCATTCTTCCAGCTGTTGCTTGTTGTATGCACTTTCCCAAAGCATGTTGTTTAAACAACTTAATGCCTTCACTATGACAACATCATGTGACATCACATCAGCTTTAAATTTCTCTAAGCAATCTGAAAAATACAGTCAGGTATTATGTATCTACCTGATAGCTATTGATATGGTCATAAATAAAAATAAACTTGCCCAAATAAACCATATTTGGAAAAATCATGGGATTTGAAGCATAATTGAAAACTCATGGAAAACTGACAAACTGACAAAAACTCCTTTTTTTATTCTATTCATGTCATAAAAACAAGTACATTTTACATTAGGTTGTAAGAGTTTTTAATTTTTCCCCCATTCATTTGGTTATTTGCATCATGAACACTGCATGTACATTTAAGCTCTGGTACATATAAAAACATCAATTTTTCAAATTAAAAGTCCCATTTTTCACATCAATGAACTCCTTCAATTATAAATATAGAAGTACTACAGTAAAACCAGTAAAACCTGTAAATAGTAAAGGCCTATGGAGAAACACAAAAATTGTATGGCCATAAGAAGAAGATTCTTTGTTTTGAGTCCCCTTGCTTGCACAATTTTGAGTAAACCGTAAAAAAACAAACACATCCAAATTGCAATCACAAGGGTCTGAAAGTACCAACGCATTTCATTCAATCAGAACCAGATGAAATGACGGATAATTTGACATGCGTCAAAATTGACAGTGTTGTTGATCACTTTTGCATATATTGTGTATTTTCTTATTTTTTACCCTTGAATAATAGCCATGTTTAAATATATGGTATAAAATGTATAGATATGTGTTTGTAATCACTGCAAATTGGTATGTCATCCCTTTTTATGCCCATAAAATGTATACAATTCTCAGCAAACAAGTGTGTGTTTTTTATAGTTTTCCTTGTACCCTTGCATGATTTGGATTTTGCCAGGACGCAAAACAAAGAATCTACTTCTTATGGCTTTACCTGTAGGTAGTTGCTCAATACAGAGAGGAGATTTTAAACACATATCAAATTGTAAAATGTGTCTTGAGTGGTATTCACTAAACATAGGTGTTCACTAGAGAGAGCTAGGTGTTCACTAATTCACTGTTACCAGGTAGATAGATTCCAACAGAACAAGTTTAAAAGACTTTATTTGCTAGCTTCAAATACTTGAGACATTGACTGACTGATGATGTCAAAACGTGCTCTTAAAGGGACAGTATCACCACAACTAAGACAAGTTTTGTTTTTTTTTACGAAAAAATACAGGTTATATCAAATACAACTTTCATTGCAAATTGGCTCCAATATCATTCCATAATCCTTTTCCTTTAAAATCTCATTTTCAGAAAAATGACCTTAGAATAACTCAATAATATAAATCAATATCATACCCACAATACATTTAATAACGCCCCTTTGGCCAATTTTCTCACGCATCTTATGACCACACGCCATATTGTGGAAGACGAACAGACACATGCAACTGATGTTGACATCTATTGATTGTGAGAGAATACTAGAGATGACCTCAACGCCTCCATTCTCAATCAAATTATACCCTGAAATAAAAATATGAGGATGACATAGAGAAACAAGACAACAGCAACACCAAAGCGTAGCAAATCCCATCGAACAGCCATGGCTGGGAATTTTACAAACAAAGTATATAGCAAATTTGGCAGCCATTTTTTAAAATGGCCACTTTCTACCAAAAGTGTCATTAGACAGTGTGCCATGCTTCTAGTATTCACATACCAAATATGAACAAAATTGCTCCACCACTTTTCGAGTTATAGTAAAATATGTTTAAATGGCTGCCATTTTTCAAAACGGCCACCTTCTTCCAAAAGTGTCATTAGATAGTGTGTCATGCTTATAGTTTTCACATACCAAATATGAACAAAATTGCTCCACTTCTTTTCGAGTAATAATAAAATACGTTAAAATGGTGACCATTTTTCAAAATGGCTGCCTTCTAACAAAAGTGACATTAGACAGTGTGCCATGCTTATAGTATTCACATACCAAATATGAACAAAATCGCTCCTCTACTTTTCGAGTTACAGCAAAAATCATAAAATAACGAGTGAAGACAGCCATTTTTCGAGATCTTTAAATCTAGCTTCATTAATCACCCTATGCTTAGTGAGCGGACCTAATTTCAAGGGTGATGGTAAAGACGAGGCAGGGCGCCCAAACCTAACTATGGCGGACTAGCAGTAAGTTTATTTCTCTAAATTCTACTCTTTATTGGCCTTGTGCTGGCCTGTTACTAGGTGCACTGATGCTTCAGATGCCCATAATTAGATTTGTAATGTAAGAAAGAAATATGTGAAACGGATACGAAGTGATGTGAAAAGAAAAATTAATTTTCTGCATATTTTTTTTTCGATTATTTTCAAAATGATGATACTTCTCCTGCATAGAATTCCTTGATATTGCATGTAATTATTGTTGATGAACGTATTTATATCGTAAACCCATCCATTTCCCAATTTGAGCCGTAATTGCAGTCAAATCAGGAGATTTTGATTCCTCGAAAGGAAGAGCAATGGTTATGGTTATAAAAGCATGTTTGGACGAGCCGTGGAATAGGGATTACATTTATCCTGTTTATTTTCAGATATGTGGGTTTCCAGTGTTACTACTGTCATGGAAAATCAAAAGACTTTGATGAAATAACACACCACCTTATTAAAAAACACCCTACAAATAAAATGAAAATTCGAAAAATCGTTAATGTCTGCCATGTTAACAACCTCTCACTACATCTGTCATGGTAACAACCTCTGACTACATCTGTTATGTTAACAACCTCTCACTACATCTGTCATGGTAACAACCTCTGACTACATCTGTTATGTTAACAACCAATAACTACATCTGCCATGTTAAAAACCTCTGACTTCATCTGCCATGTTAACAACCTCTCACTACATCTGTCATGGTAACAACCTCTCACTACATCTGTTATGTTAACAACCAATAACTACATCTGCCATGGTAACAACCTCTGACTACATCTGCAGTGTTAACAACCTCTGATTACATCTGCCATGTTAACAATCTCTGACTACATCTGTCATATTAACAACCTCTGACTACATCTGTCATGTTAACAACCTCTCACTACATCTGTCATGGTAACAACCTCTCACTACATCTGTTATGTTAACAACCAATAACTACATCTGCCATGGTAACAACCTCTGACTACATCTGCAGTGTTAACAACCTCTGATTACATCTGCCATGTTAACAACCTCTCACTTCATCTGGCATATTAACAACCTCTGACTACATCTGTCATGTTAACAATCTCTGACTACATCTGTCATATTAACAACCTCTGACTACATCTGTTATGTTAACAATCGCTGACTCTATCTGCCATGTTAACAGCCTCTGACTACACTTGTCATGTATATAAAGTCTGACTTCATTTATTATGTTAACAATTTCTGAATACACCTGCCATGTTAACAACCTTTGACATCAACAAACTCTGACTACATCTGTCATGCGTCTGATTTTTTATGACTTTGGCAACATTTGTTAAAAAAGTGTGGGCCAGTTACCATTTATACAATTTTAAAATTCTTTTAAGTTATTTTATTTATTCGTTCAACAACCAACACTTTTTGATAAATCATAAAATCAAGTGACTACATGTTTTGCAAGTTTTTACCATTGATTGAAGCCTATGACAACCTTGCCCAAATTCATTAATTTATTAATTGACAGTGTACATTTTAGCTGAATTTAGCAGTACACGTAGCAGCTAAGTGCTTGTGCATAGCCACTCCTCTTCGCAAATTACATCGCCATTGCACGTCATCGAAATTCTGATCACCGAATAGTAAACATTCATTTTGTATTGGATGTACATAACTAGAGACCGCCTTATTTCGCATATATGAAAAAATAAAACATATCTAGGTACATATATATTTATATGTGACATCGATCAGGAATTATTGACATATTGACAATATTAGGTTGTAATTTCTTGCGGTAAATTCAAATTGTATCTTTAAACGATTGTTTCATCTTAACTATTCGTTTTATTGGATGTAAAACTAACGGTATGCATAGTTTAACATCTTTCACTTCTAAAACACCATAAAATATCACAATATCATCACCTAATGCTGCAATAATACGACTTAAAAGATTATGGTACTAATATTCTTTGGTTTTTAGGCGCCATGCCTCGTCTTTACCATCACCCTTAAAATTAGGTCCGCTCACTAAGCATAGGGTGTTAATGTCCTATATAACTTTTTAACGTATACATAAATATATTGGGCGAGACTTGAGATAATTTATGCAATGCCATTCAAAATTGAAACTTCTGATTGGGTTTGAAGCCGAGATGCCTGGATATGACCGAGCAAAAGCCGGAATTCATGTGATTTTTCACGAAGAAGGGGCGGAGTTTAAGCGAGATTCATCGAGATTTCTTCGTGTCAATTGTGTAAATCACTGCATTGCTTATTGTTGACTCGTTCAAACTCCACCTCTTTGCCATTTAAGAAAAGTGTCAGTCCGCTTATAACTCCGCCTTTTTGCCCTTAAATGGAGAATACCATTTTCGAAGGGGTCCTCTTTAGGGGAGATTTTCATCGTTTTTTTCCTAGATTTCTTGAAAATGGAGTTATTTCAACCATTCTTTGTCAGTGTACACCTCTCGACAGTATTCATCTCAATAACCTACTGCCGAGTAGTTTATTTTTTTGATTTGACAAAAATTCGATCAGAAACTATATTACGAAAATCTCCAGTGATAGATTAAGCGGGTTGTACTAAATACCACCTAGGTGCCCCCATTGAAATGCCTTACTGGTGTACTTTACTACTTTATTTCAAGCTAACATTTTTCAAACTGTAAGTATATTACATAATAAAGTATTTTCATGGAACTTATGTAAATATTTCTGTTTGTTTATGATATTTTTAATTGTCTTGAAAATTTTGATCAATGTCAAAAAGTCATTTGTTAGGATAATGTTTCATTATTTGCCCACTATTAAATGCTAAAAATTCACTATTTTAGCAACTAAAGTAAGAACAATATAATATATTTCAAATATAAATGCACAATTTAGCATAAACAGTGTTTGTTACTACAAATAAGTGACAATGCATTAAAGTGCAAAATTCCAGGTGCCCATATTTTTTTAACAGTAAAACTTTTTACATTTTATTTTCAAATCTTCTTCGCAATATTCTCGACTACAAATTATTATTTCAAGTCTATTATATGTCGACAATATCACAGTTATATTATTACCTATAGGGAAGTTATCACAGACCAGGTTTGCCAAGGCACTCAGAATATGTGATATAATTGCTGTGTTCACTGGAGGGGGGCAAACATCTGAAAATATAAAAATATGTCAGCATTTCTGGTGGTGACATAAAAACTAGCATTTCTCGAAAAATCAAGTCTGAAAAGCCTGATGTTTTAAATATTATGCAATAAAGTAAAAGATTTGTTTTGAAATGAAAATGACATGCCAAATTGAAAAACATATGTAATTGTGTATACCCAGTACTGACCTATTAACTTGCAAAGACTGACTTGACATGGTGTCACATTCAGGTGTAGTTCTTGGGGCACACTATAGAGGTCATCCAAGAACACTTCCACTCTAGCCCCATAATCAAGCGTTAACAGTCTGGCCTTTGTTCCAGTATTAGTTCCTTCTCTGTAGGATATTACCTAAAAATAAAAATACATTTTATGTTTGAATGAGAAATTTTACAAGTAAATTTTCTATTAATTACAATACAAACCTATTCCATGACATATGCTAATACCCCTAATTTGGAAAAATGGGCAAGTCCAAAAACAACAGGATAACCTGAATCCCTCTAGGTCAACTGACCTAACACCCCTTTATATGCTATATCTTCATAATTGTACGCAGTAAAACTTAAAAATACTGCGGGGAGGCCGGGTGGGCCTATGGTCATGGAATAGGTTTGTATTGTAATTAATAGAAAATTTACTTGTAAAATTTCTCAATTACATACAATCCAACCTATTCCATGACATATGCTGAATTAAAAGTAAAGGAGGTGGGACCCCGATTAAGCCAAAAGTATAATAAATATATATACACCAGTACTTATAATAAAAAGTAAATTCATATTACCAAAAAGTACTCTGATCTCACAAACCATAGTGATCCCTAGTAGAACAGCCACCATCATCCATTGTAAGGCAGAGGCTGTGACACATCTGTATAACTGTTATTGTCCTATCATAGTGAGCAGTCTTAGCCATCTAAGGGTAATGACCAACTCCTATGAATAGAGACTGGTTAACCAAGGATGGGCCGTTTAACCAAACGAGGCAACCTTGCAGTTCTTCAAGGGTCCAGGTCTCAAGCTAGTTGAGTTGAACCCTTCTGCAAAACAGTTCAGCTACACATCTGGGAGACTGTATGTCCTTTCACAGTGAGTATCCTTACCCATCTAAGGGTTGCAAATAACTCCTATGAATAGAACTGGTTAGCCAAGGATGGGCCGTTTAACCAAACGAGGCAACCTTGTAGTTCTTCAAAGGTCCAGGTCACAAGCTGGTAGAGTTGAACCCTTCTGCAAAACAGTTCCACTTACACAAGAACTGGATAGACAAGGAATGGCTGTGTACAAGATAAAGACAAACCAAGTCCACCCAGTGCTACTTCCAATCACCAGACTACAGTGCAATACTGAGTTGGTAACAAGTTGCAGAGTACTTAAAGTTGTATATAGTTCTTGAAGTTGTAGACCCACGTGGAGCTTGGATGAGATATACATGAGTCAAGCCATTGTTGTAGTTCTTGTCAGTGTAGACAAAGGCATCATCCTTTCATCCATTGGAATTCTAGGAAACTGCCGATAAATCAACTACCATGAGTCACAGCACAGGGTCCTAAAGGAACCAGTCTTGCATACAAAGTGAGATGGTACACACTACATCTTGTCTTGTCTCTGCTCTCAGAGTTGGATGTTAGTTGAATAAACATCAGGTCTGGACCAGCGATGATCATAAAGCCGTTTCAGCCAACTTGTAGAATGGTTTAACGACATAGAACAATACCACTACACATCTGCTAAGTGCTTCTTGTCTTTTGGATCCATAACAAAGTTACATGGAGCAAGACACCTCCGTAGACCGAGCCAGTCGAGGTTGGTACAGTCACCAGATAACTACAAGGATAAGTCAAACCATCTTCTTTGTAGTACCAATTAGTATTCATCATAGAACAGATCAACCATTACTGCTGACCTGGGCAAGAAGAGACATCTTCCATCTGGCCAAAACAAGTTGTTCAAGGACAAACTAGTGCATCTAGACAGTCTATTCAGCTGTATAAAACTGTAACACAGCTACCCTAGTAGACACAGCGGCACATCAAGCACAAAGTAGAACAGCATACAGGTCCATACTCATCTATAAAGGATTAGTATGGAGATGAATCTAAAGGTGGTTGGAATCAAGCTAGCATTTGTTGGTAAACTTGTTAGACATCTTTAAGAAGATGAGGATATCACTGTTATGATTGTCTATAGTGGCCATAGCATAACAGAAAGTATTCATAAATGTATATAACCTAAATGTTGTTCCCACAAAGACCTTGGCTTGGAATGCAACCTTCAATTGTTGTATTCTGCATTGTAGTTGAAAACTATTGGATTGTGGTTAGAACATCCATCTGTCCAGGTTGTAAACAGCAAACATCATAGCTAGTGCTGCATATTGACAGAATACTCCAGAAGAATTCAGAAACTCACTGGATCAACAAAATTCTTGGCCTGGAACTCAAAACTTTTAAATGTTCTTCACAGGCTTGCAAAAGACAGACTAGTGGTATCTTCAATGGATAGTACATCTATCTGTCAGCATTGAACAGCATTGAACGTAGATACTGCTACAAAAGGAAGCACTACTAGTATAGTATGAGAGTATAGTAGTGCTCGATCCACCAAAATCTGTGTCCAAAAACGTAACCTTTAATTTCATCCAGGTTTGTAGTTGGCAGCACTGGTTGACAAGAATAGTCAGCTTTTCTCCCGGGTCTGTCTAAAGCTACCAAGAGCATACATCATGGATGTAGGTGTATTGGAACACTACAGTATGTAGTAAGGTAGTGCTGGATCCACAAAGTTCTTGACTTGGAGCATAACCTTTGTAGATCAAACTTGGCTTGGAGTTGAAACTCTAGTATCAACAGCATATTCATCAGGCCCGCATGGTCATCGAAGTACTACTGCATGTGTCTACCAGTCAATTGTTGGATCCATACAACGCTTGGTCCAAGAACATTACTTTTCAGTAGTCTTAAGCCAAACTTGCAGTTGCTCAAGGGAAAAAACTATATCATAAAAACATGATAAGTTTATCCAATTAGTAAAAACTTCCAGCCTTTTACTAGTTAAATAGTAGTATAAGTACTATGAACTAGTAATAATATAAAACCAAATGAAGTCTGGACTGGAGTGAAACCTTAAGGCAATCCAGGCCCAAAAAGCCCAAGATTAATTCCACAAATAAAGTGACTTGTAGTTTCTCAATGGAAAAAACGATATCATAAAACATGATTAGTTTATCCAATTGGTTAAATCTACCAGCCTGTTCTAGTTAAAGTAGTAGTATACGTACTATGAACATGAACTAGTAATAAAATAAGACCAAAAGGAGTCTGGAACTGGAGTGATACCTGAAGGCAATCCAGGCCCAAAGACCACAAAGATGAATTCCACAATAAAAGTGACTCGCATTTTCTCAGGGTAAAAAACTATATAAAAAAACATGGTAGTTTATCCAAGTGGTTAAAACTACCAGCCTTTTACTAGTTAAATAGTAGTATTAGTACTATGAACATGAACTAGTAAACATATAAGACCAAATGAAGTCTGGAACTGGAGTGATACCTTAAAGCAATCCAGGCCCGAAAACCACAAAGGCAACTTTCACAATCAAAGGGATGTGTTTTCAATATTAGATGAAAACCACCTTGTTTGAAAATAATAACCAATCCACGAATGAATAAGTACTATAGTTATGAATAAGAACGAAAATGAAAGAAAACAGGCTCCAGATTATAAAAATGAGAGCCCATCACTTAGATGCATGTTTAAAACACAAGATTCAAAGTATAAAGAACCTGAAGCGATGTGTAGAATCCTCTCTTCTACTGTTGATTGAATAATATAAAATTATATTTCAATCAATTGACTCATGATCTTATAAATTTAAGACAAAATTCAAACATGTGTGAAGGTACACCGCTTATAAAGAAACATATAGTTACTTAGAAAATATGCATGAAGCCAATCAATACCAGAAAAGGAGTGATTGATAAGTAGCTGTTCAAAAGTATGAAGCATATTTTAAGGTGAGCCACTCCATAAAAAAAACTGTGGTTAGGGTAAAACTAACCAAAAGATTCTAAGACATAGAGTGGGCCTGAGATATGTAGATAAACAATAATGTAGATCTCCATAAAGAGACACAAAAGTACAAACAAACAAAAAAAAAACTTAGTAAAAATTATCCTTGTAAAATTAAAAATAATGAAACAAGATTTGAAAACCAAGATATCCAAAATGATTGCAGAACAAACATCCTGTGCCCTGGTATAAATAAAGAATGAATATGTTGTGACCAGAAGGCATTAATGAGCCATTCAATGTATCTTTAAGTAAGGCTTCTGTAAACTAACTAATTTTACACGAATGATTGTAAAATTAGACCTAAAAATAGTTGATGAATAAGAAAAACGAAAGTAAAAGCTGAGTGTATCTGTAAGCAGAAAACAAACAGAACATAGAAAACAAGTGATGTGAAGAGTAGCAAGTGAATGAAACGTTCACATCTCTTAAAATGTCAAAAAACTAATATTTTAAATTAATTGACTGCTAAACCACACAATTCCATAAAGTGCTGGAACCAAGAACCCTACAAAAGGGTGTAAAGTGATTGTGAATAAAGATGAGAATTAACTACATCTAGGAACAATGCAGATTCAATCCAACTGAAAAATATGTTATCTAGTCAAGCTAGTTACTAAACTAGGAACAAAGTTGAGACCAATTCCCGACTAATAAAAAGTAAGAAAAAGAAACAAGAAAGATCAGCAAAAAGATCTTTCAATACAAGTGTAATGATATCCAGTTTCTGGTATCATCTTGCTAACTGCCTTTGAGGTATTATGTTACTTGTACATGTGTGGGATTACAAATATACAACTTGGTCTTCTAAAGCTAGAACTTGTACTGTCCAGATCATTACATGGTACTGCGTGGTGAAATATTTAATAATACAATACAAAAAATGGATTATTAGCATAGAAAGGCCTAAAAATGATGATGAATAATATTCCGAAGCCAGAAAGGGTGGATTTCTCCAACAATTTGGAGAAACACTGGTTAAATTTCAGGAGTGAATTTGAGTTCTATCTAGATGCCCTTGGTGAAATCACAGACAAACAGAAGATAGGACTACTCGTTACCTGTGCTGGGCCCAAAGCCAGTCAACTGTTTAAGACATTCAAATTTGATAAAGATGAAGACTCTACAAATTATAAAGTTGTACTTCAACAATTTGACGCATACTGCATCCCAAAGCAGAACGAAACCTATGAACGTTATGTATTTCGGATTAGATTACAGAAAAATGGAGAATCCTTTGAAGAATTCCTGTCAGATTTGAAGGTGAAAATCACCACA